AATTAGGCGTGCACCCAAAAAATTGGAAGATTTGAACCAAAAATGAAGGCAGGGCCCCCCCCCCCCTACATCAAATGTGCCAACTCCACCATCCCCTTTCGTCTTATCCTAGTTTATTATTTTTATTTTTCTGCAAACACATTTCCTAGCTTTAAATCATTATAGTTCCTACTGTTCTTAACTTTACAATAGTATGCATTACAGTTCCTGTTCCTAACTTTTTAATAGTAAAAGTTCCTTGTTCCTAGCTTGTGAATGTGAAGTGAATGACAACAAATATGTCTTGATCATTAAAAAATGAGAGCTTTCAAATCAAATTTCGACGAAATCTTTAAATAAATCTTGAAAAATAAAACAAAAATGCTTTTCAAAGGGAGTATTCAGCGAAAAGTTAATAAGGGGTACAGACAAAATCCGTTTCAAATTTGAATTTAGTTACTAATTTTACTTTTATTAACAGCCTCTGTTAGGAGCAAATGGTTTAAACTATCTTAGGCATTATGCAATTCAACCATTTTCTCATTATAGACGCTACAGATAACAGATAGAAGTAAAGGTAGTGATCAAATCCAAATTTGATTCGGATTTAGCCTAAAGCCCTTTTCATTTTCACAAACACTCCCATAAAGAAAAAATACACATTTTTTACCTTACTGTCAACGGAACAGGAGGTTCACTTTGTAGATGCTTTAGGTCCTCTAGTTTCAACTCCTAGGAACAATAATTCTCCATGGGTATACAAAAGATTTTCTAGAAAAAAGCCCCCCCCCCCCCCCACTCTTAGAATTGTTTTCCCTCCAGAGGTAATCAAAAATTAGTTCTTGAAAATTCTTAATTCTAATATTATTTTTTCCTGGACAGTTGGAGCAGGATTCCAAATGAAACCTTCTTATTGTTAAATAAAAGGAGTTATGTCTTAAGTAAATTCTGAATCGTTGTGGCTAACACTTCGGATCCGTCTTGACTTGATATCTTATCTTTCAGTAAACAAAACCGATATGCTAACCTGTGTCTGGTTGCCAGGAATGAGTGTCGGTTCCGGCTCGAATTCGTCAAAATCTAGATCCGACAGTTTTAATGTCTGCGCCAGAACGTCCATTTTAGGTCGGTTTTCATTAGAAAATCCGCCAGTTTGCAAACTATTCTCAGGTCTAGAGGAACCGGTAGAACCCATACCTAGACTGCTGATAGGTTTCACTATACTGTTGTGACTAGAGAGGGCTGAGGTTAATCCAAAGGACGAGGTTGGTATTCTAGAACTAGTGAAACTAGAAGATCCTTGTGACGGGGGTATACGGAGAGATCCCGATACCTCAGGGACTGCAAAGGATGGTTTAGGAGACTTGGACGGAACTCGAGATATCAGGGAGATAGGACGTGATTCAATGCCCTGTGAAGGTGAAAGGACGGATACGTCTAGATTAGGCGGAAAGCTTGAAGGAACGGATACGCGCCCCGTGTATTGTATTGTAGTAGGCGGTCTAGATATAGGAGCCGGGACCCTTCCAGCTAACACTCCGCCCTGTCCAATCATCGGCAAAGGTGGAGGATTTAACCGAGGCGGAAACCCAGCATGACTGACTGGAGCATTCGTCACGGATTTGACACCCAGGGTCGATCTATGAAAGAAAGTATTAATTAAATGATTTAAAAATCGAGTCTTAATTGTTTGGTTTTTTACCTTGAATAAGTGTTGTACGAAGAGGGAGAACTGACAAAATCTTCCAATTGATTAGATGGTCGACCCGGTCCAAGTCGAGGAATAACAGGACCCGGTAATCCCAACCCTCCAACCCTGCCAAGTGGGTTGTGTTGTCCCTCTATCCTTAAACCTTGGTTCAATCTAATGCCTGGCTCTAATCCATCCTTTGCTACTCCGGTTACACTATCTCCGCTAACTCCTAAAAAGGGACTGTAAGCATAATTGCTAGTGACTCCTATTCAAAGATGGCAATGCCCGAATTACAATGGTAATTTTTGAAACCATTATCTGATCAATAATATGGAAGATTGACGTTTTTCTAGGTTCAAAAGTGTTTAACTAAAAAGAAGAGAAACCACAGTTGAAAATAATCAGTTTTCAAAATTAAAAACATTGATAACTAATTCATACATAAGAAAACGCTATTAGGGGTACCGTTGTGAATCGGGCATTGTCATCTTTCTGGGTAAACTCTAAATTGTGTTCCAATTGCTGAAAAACCGAAGTGAACTCTATCGTGGTGTCAACTCAATGAGCCTTTTTGTATTTATTTAAATTATTTCTCATAAATCACGAATATTCGATATCCAAATATTAAGGAAAATGTGTATTTTCTGTGACTTCTGGAAAGTAAATAATATGATAATCTTATGAGGAAAAAAATGTAATAATGGAAATTCTTGAACGAGATGAAATAATCTTGATGTATTCTTTAACGAAGGCCGAGGAAAAAAATGTAATAATGGAAATTCTTAAACGAGATGAAATAATCTTGATGTATTCTTTAACGAAGGTCGCAGGCCTGAGTTAAAGAATGCATCAAGATTATTTCATCGAGTTTAAGAATTCCATTATTACATTTTTATCCTCATAAGATTATTATTATATCATATTTGTGAGGTTCCATGGGCACATACCCAAGAAATTATATTAAAAAATAATTCTTGTGAAATCCGACTGTTTCAAGTTGGAACAGTTCACATTATCAAAGGTTGCAAATAAGTTTTATGCTCTTGTTCTGACTATCACTGTTTTTTATTTTTCTAATGTTAAAATGTTAAAAAAAAAAACATTTTAAAAGTAAAAATTGGTGCTTAATTTAAAAGTAATGCATGTGTTGTGATTGTTTCCTTTGTTTAGTTTGTTTGTTACCCAATTTCTAATGATTTTGCTCGTTTTTTCAAGATGATACTACATTTAGATACAGCATGTTTAATGTAACCTGAGTTTTTTTAAATGGAGAAGGTTTGATACTACATTTAGATACAGCATGTTTAATGTGCCCTGAGTTTTTTTAGATGGAGAAGGTTTATTTAGTAGTGGATTGTCTAAATCTACTGAACAATAGCGTGTCTTCATTTATAGAAGAAATCATTTTCTGGTTATTTGATCCTAAATCTTCCAGAAAGAGGAGATAAAATCAGGTTATCTAGTAAGAATCAGTTCGACATTAACTGATGAAGATCTTTGTCTTTTATTCATGAAGCAAGATTTACTGGTTTGTTTTCATTGGTATGGAGTGCTAAGACTCCATTAAAAGTTGTGACACTAATATTTCAATGATAAGTTTTTATACTTTTTTTGGTTTTGATTGTGGTTTCATTTCATCATCTCGAACTATGTGAGATATGGTGACTTAGACTGAAAATCTCTGACCATACTATTACAAGTATGCAGAGATTTGCAAAATCTCACTAAACTTTGAAATTTGAAATGAAGATGAACTAAAGAAATTAACAAAGTAGGCAGTCGGGCAGTATGCTTTGAGACTCGGCAGTTTGATGAAAGTGTCTAATGTAAGGCTAAAAGCATCGTCCATATTTTTGGGAAAGGTCAGAAAATGTTAATTTCCACTCTTCTGACAGGACTAGGGTTGAGATTCAAATTGATATTTCTGAATAAAGGTAGATAAATACTTAAAAAAACAAAAAAAGGTAAGTGAGCATGAAAAGGTAAGTGAGCATGAAAAGGTAAGTGAGCATGTTTTACTAAAGTAAAAAAGGTAAGTTTGCATGTTTTGATATAAAAGAAGAAGGTAAATGAGCATGTTGTTTTAAAGTTAAAAAAGGTAAGTTAGCATGTTTTAATATAAAAGAAAAAGGTGAGTTTGCCCTGTGCATGTTGTCAGTACAAAATAATTAAGTTAATATCAATATTAATACTGAAAAGATCAATATAAGGAGCGTGTAAGAATGAATATTGTTCAACTAGTGTAAGAATTTCCATTCTTTAATGCTTGAAGCGTGTAAGAATATACATTCTTTTACGCTCTGGCCATGTAATAATTTCCATTTTTACACGGTCTGAGCGTTAAAGAATGAAAATTCTACACATACAGTGTAAGAATAATCATTCTTAAACGCTAGGAAGCGAACAATATTAAAATTGTTCCTCCTGAACCGTGTAATAATGGGAATTCTGACACGATAGGTTTACTACTATGGAACCGAACAGATATGATATAATAATAATTCTCAAATAAAATAAAAAACAACTTGGAAACAATGTTAACAATTACAAGAGTTTCTGTAAAGAAATAAGTCCGTCATTCTGACAAAAGCTCAAAGGGTATTGTTGTGAGTCCGATACGCCACTCTAAAAATTTGAAATTTATATCCCCCAAAGCTAAAATTTCGTTAATACATTCCCAACTGTTTAAATTTATTATAGATTACAATTTCAAAAAATGGATAGGGGAAGAACTTCCTTTAGGCGTTAGTCAAGGTAACTCTGTCAAACCTCATGCATCATTTTATTAAAATGGATAGGCGAATAAGTTCCTTTAGGTGTTAGTCAAGGTAACTCTGTCAAACCTCATGCATCATTTTATTAAAATGGATAGGCGAAGAACTTCCTTTAGGTGTTAGTCAAGGTAACTCTGTCAAACCTCATGCATCATTTTATTAAAAATGTTCAGGATTGTCCTTTAGATTTTCCCATCAACGGTTTAGGACTTAAACTCGCCGCATTAAAAAAATTATTCAGGTTTGCATTAGAAAATTTTCTGTGAATCCTTACCGACCATACTTCTAGGGAATGTAGGTTCCACAAATCCAAGCTCTTTCTGCAAATCAGTCATTCGGTCATCCTCCGTCTCTCTGAACAAATATATTTTTATCATTTATTAAGTCATTTTCCGTATCTCTGAACAAATACATTTTATCAGTCAAGCGATCATCCTCAATCTCTCTAAACAAATAAATTTCAGTCATTCGGTCAGTCTCCGTCTCTCTGAACATATACTACATTTCATCAGTCATGCGGTCAACAGCCGTATCTATGAACAAAAACCTGTTATCACCCATTTGGTCATCCTCTAATACATTTTAACAGTCATTCGGTCATTCTCTATCTCTCTGAACAAATACTACATTTTATCTGGCATGCGGTCATCCTCCATATCTCCGAACTAATACATTTTATCAGTCATTCGGTCATTCTCCGTCTCTCTGAACAAATACATCAGTCATGAGGTTCTCCTCCGTCTCTAAACAAATTACATTTTTTCAGTCATTCGATCATTCTACGTCTCTTTGAACAGATACATCAGTCATGCGTTGATCCTCCGTCTTTCTGAACAAATACTTTTATCCGTCATGCGATCATTCTCTGTCAATCTGAATAAAAACATTTTATCAGTCATGTGGTCATCCTCCTCTCTGAATAAATAAATATCTGTAATACGGTCATCCTCCCTCTCTCTGAATAAATAAATATCAGTCATACGGTCATCCTCCCTCTCTCTGAATAAATAAATATCAGTCATACGGTCATCCTCTGTCTCTCGAAGCAAATAAATATCAGGCATGCGGTCATCCTTCGTCTCTCTAGATGAACAACTCAAATCAATTAGTTTCTTCAAAACTCTCCCCCCTTCCTCTTTTTGAAAATCCTTTTTTCCTCAAAGGTTACTTGTTTTTAAATTTATTTTTTTGCTCGCCGCATGGGGGTGAACACGAATTCAATAAAATCATTCCTCCCGGGCCTCAGCCCCGGGGTGGAAGGTGTTATTCTTAGAATTGTTTACCCCTTTATAGCGAGCTACCTGGATGATTGTGTGAGGTTGAGAGAGCTTCTGGAGGTTATTGTTGAGGTTATGCTCGGAGATATAGAGGTCATGCATAAGTCGCTTGAAGACGTCTGGAGCATCGATATGGTGCTCATTCCTAAATTATATTCATAAGTATAATAGGGACATGCCAGATTAAAAACTGTACCCTTGAAACCTTTATAAATCTCTAAAAAGTTCTCTACCTGGGGATTTTTCTCCATTGTAGGATTCAGGAAGAGAAAAGCTTGGCGAGCTGTCCATACCGACCCCGCGACTATGATAAATAACAGTTATACAGGGGTGTATGTTTTTTTAAAACACGATGGGGGGGGGGTAATTTTGATTGCTTTGAAGGAAAAATGAAAGCTGAACATGAAAAGACAAGTTTTTTTATCCACCTTAAGATGAAAGTTATTCTTTCATGGGTTTTTATTTTCAAAAATAAAATTTTTGATGCTGTGGGGAACGAAAAAACAGTGGACACAAAAATAAGTTTAATCATTCTAATCTATACTTTTAAACCAAAAATTACCCCGAATTCCGCTAAATAACCACTTAAAATAATTTTTTGCACACCGCGCAAACATATCTAACATCTAGGGAAACAAATGATTTTTTTTTTTGGGGGGGGCCGGGGGGGAGGTGAAAGATTTGTAAAGAAAATACACCCTTGCGATTCAGGGTTGGCATAAAAAACCCAGGTCAAAAAAAAACACCCAATAAAACCCACCTGTCAGTGACCTTTAATGGGTTTTCTTGGTTTTTTTTATCGAATTTTTCTGATTTTTGTCTTTTCTTCCCTTTTACAATGATTAACTCTTCAAGAAATGAGGTCTACTATCAAGTGTATTGATTTTTAGGGAGTTTACACTCAGAAATAATCTTATTATTATGAATTAGTATGAATTTTAGAAGGATTTAAATAATTTCAACGGGAAAACCCAAAAAGTCCAAAAAAAAACAATAAAACCTAATAAACCCCAATAAAACCCCCTGAGATTTTTTCCAACCCTGCCTGGATTAGACTTACCTAGAGATGTAACCACTATCCGGACTAAGCTTAGCAGCCGGACTATTATTACTATGCAAATCGTAACATTAATGACATTTTTTCTAGCTTTATTACTTTACAAATTAATTAATTTAAAAATTTCAATTTTCAATTCACCCGTTTTAATAATCGAAAATCGGAATTTTTCCCTGCAGGATATGACCAAAACGGGATATTGAATAAGAAATAAATTAATCCATAGTCTCGCAAAAAAAAAGAGATAAATCCTTGATTCAGAGATTCCTTACACACAAGTTATGATTTCTAGTAAGGTGGATACTGGATAATAATGATCAACAATAATGATAAAAATGATAATAATAATAAGTTTCCTACACTAAATAAATGTAACGCAAGTAGTCAGAAAATACTCTAAGGAAAGGATGCTTCACCGAATGAACAATTGAACTAATGATTAATTGCGCAAGTTATTTTTTCGTAAAAACACTTAAAAATTAAAGGCGGTTATTTTTTTTAAATTTAATCAACCTATAGTTATCGATTATCTTTCGCCACATTTATATAAAGTTGATTTTTCATAATATGTTTTAATTGTTATGATCTGAGAGTTACTTATAAAAACATTTATTCATGTTTCGAGGATTTTTGGAAATGAAGACGACAGTTTCATATTTTCCAGGAATGTTCAAAAACAAGGTGTTAGCTAAATATCATTTTAAAAAACAAAATCAAAACTAGTATGAAATATCAAATATATACAAATGTGGCGAAAGATCGATGACTATAGGTTGTAATATCTGAATGATTTGTTTGATATTAATTTGATTTTTTTACGGTCTAAGTCGTATGTTCCAACTTCCTCAATTTGTATGGCCGCTACGCTCTTCGGTATTAGACGTCTTTAACAATTTTCTCCTTATAGACGCAACAGATAGAAGTAAGATTAGTAGTGATCAAAAGCGCTTTTTTATCGCATTAAGCCTAAACCCCCTTTCATTTTTCGCGAACACTCCCTTTAAGTCTAATGAAGACCTAATTTTCTACCTATGCATACAGACCAGGCGGGGAGTGCGCCCCTTTTCTGACAACAATTAACAATTTTCAAGTCGCCAATGCTTTATTGTGTTCCAATAAACAGATTTTCTGTTTATATCGTTGGATTTTCAAAAATCGTAAAAATCGAATTTTTTTCCAAGACAACATTTTCCAATTTTGACCATCCATCTTCCCAGGGGTTAAGTGAGTTGAAACAAAAAAGGGGGCCTTTTTGGTCCAGCCGTTTTGAGTCTTATTGGATACAAGCCTAAAATATATATCTAGAAGTAACCTTCCGAACTTTCCATACGATACCTGATGTTTTTTATCCACAAAGTTGACATGATCATATCCAAACTGCATTTGAACATTTGGTGACTGGTACTCAAGTTTTCCCGACTCCTTATATAAAACATGTAAATATACAATGGCAGTCCCTTTTATTAAATCAAGACACTTGAAAGTTACATTAAACAAAGTTTGCTAAAATTCTTATCTGCAATTGCCCAATAAGTTTTGGCTAATTTCTTTTCTTTTGAGAATTTCTAAAAAGTGTTCAATTGTCTTGAAAAATTGTTGTCCCTAAAATAAAAACCAGTGCCCTCACTAAGTTATAGTTAAAAGTTCATTAATTGTCGTCTAGCTAAAAAAGGGTTGGTTCTCTATAAAAGAGCCTTGTTTCAGATACAATGGAGGAAATAAAAAAAAAATCAACATTTTTAAAGATATTTCCCTCATTGTTATTTTAAATGGCACCGTTGTAAATCGAAAATGAAACTCTAAGATAAGTGGGGTCACTCTACAGTCCCTTTAAAACTGGTTTGCTTGCCTCACCTGATTCATCGGAATAATTTGAAGTCCAGGCTGGTCAACTTTACGTCCTTGGACCCCAGATTTTCCCAAGTTATGTCCACCTCGACCTCCCTGACCCCCTCGACCTCCCCGTCCTCCTCTTCCAGGCTGGAGTACAGGGAACCCAGGTTTATTGATTGAACCATCATGGACTCCGCCAACCTGTTGATCCAGTCCACCATGTCCACCAGGGGGCACAGCAGACATAATTCTATTTTCACCAGAACTACCGTCCCCAGAAGAAGAAGGAGATTTAATCAGAGGAACCTTAATGGTTTGAAATAAATATAGATACAATAATTATTTATATCACATCACTATTATTTTGGTTTGCAGTGCTTTGAAGTTTTTGGACAGAAATGTTCTCTTTAATGAGAACGGTCAAGCCTCGAGGTGAAAGTTTATGTCTAAAAACATTTTAACACGCCATGCCAAAATAATAGTATTATGGATAATTTTATGAAATGTTGTGTACAGTACGTCTTGACTCTTGAGGCAATGGTTATTTCTTTATGCAATATGCACAAAATAGGAATAAAAAAATATAATTTCAATTTTATTTTCATTTTAAAATATTTTTTGAGAAAATTCGGGACCCAATGAAACTTCTTAGCCCCGTATAACATACAGCTTAATTAATATCGTAGTATGATGAATGATGATTACTAGCACGTCTATAATAAAATTTACCAAGAAGTGACCATTAGTCAAGTACACAATAGTTTCATAAAAGACTAAATACTAAATAAAATGATTCACAAAACAGAATGAAAATTTAAAATATCCACCTTTTTTTCTGCAGATTGTGCCGGATAATTGTTGAGTACATGCTTCTGTTTTTCATGCATATCCCGTACATACCGACTAATTAATAAAATAAATTGTAATAATTATAGTAATAAAATAGAGTTGCATGAACCAAAACAGTACAATGATGCCAGTAAAGTTTTTACTTTGCCGGCCCGTCTAGTGTACTACAGTGCTTGGAATCCGTGAGTATGTATTTTCAACTTTTGTTCTTTCAAAATTAAATTGGAGTAAAATTTAATTTTTCAAGAGAAAACAAGAAACCGGCAGTAATATCAAATTAACATACATTCCAAGGATTGTATTAATGGAAATTTTTTTTTAAAAATGTGATGGTGAGGAAACCGGAAATTTCAGGTAATCAAGAAAATAAAAACGCTTAACCATTCTTCTTGAACAGTTACATATTTCAATCAGTTCAACTGACCTGATAAATGGTTGAGCACAGTATTTACAATGATGTTTTATGGGTTTTCTTTCAGAGAGTGGAGTCACAACTTCATCAGAACCTCCGGCTCCAGCTCCACCACCACCTCCAGCCCCTACAGCTGGTCGTCCAAACTTCTCCAGTCGGTCTCCTGCAGAACCAACACCCTCCTTTCTAAAAATTCGATTCATAAAAAAATTGAATTTTATATATTACAACCAATAATTTACCATTAAACTTAAAGGGACTGTCGTCACAATTTTAAGAGACCCTTCATTTAAAAAAGGGCTGAAAATGGACCATCAGGTTTCAAGACAAAACACCTTAAACATGTTCTTTGGATTATGTTAATATGCTAGAAAATGCCACCTAGGGAATTTTGAGCAAATTCATTTTTAAGAAATCTCAGAGATCAAGTGCATTTACAGGTCTAAATCAAAGACTTTTATCTGCTTCTTCAGTTTTTTTTTGCGATATTTTTTGAACTGTTAATGGTAGGGTCCCCAAATATTATATCTTTTCATTAACAGTCACAAGAAATATTGTAGCAAAATTGGGGAGATTTTTACAGATTTCACTTCAAAACTCTTTTACATCCTTTACATCCCACTGTTAGGGAATAATGGGTCGGAAATGTTAGTCAAAAGGTAAAAAAAAATACCACACAAAAACTTACCTCTCTAAGGGTATTCTTATCTGAGACTCTCCATCAGATTCCTCGGATTCAGACTCAGAACCAGATTCAGATTCACTGTAAGCTTCTAACCTCCCTTCACAGAATGAATATTAAAGGGACTGAAGGCATACTTTCCCTAGCTTTTCATTTTTATATTTTTTTTTTAAATGGGGTTTTAATCTGAACTCAGAAAAAAAACTATTCCAAAACATGAAATGTCTTAATATATATTTTATTATCTTTGTTGTTATCTTTAATTTTTTTGGCGTATCGGAATTTTTTTTCAATTCAGGTGGCTTAAGTTTGCATGACATAAAGCCTATTCAATATGTTTACTAAAAACCTCAAGTATGTGGTAAGCTGATTTCGAAAAAAAAGTCCAAAATTATCACCCTTAAAATTAATTCGTTGGAAAATAATTTCTAATTCTTCTATTTGCTGAACCTTCCAGTCGTTAGTCTACTAGTTCTCACAGTAAATTAAGATAGTAATAATTATAATAAAAGCTTACGTTTAACCGGCTTGACCCATGCAATGCGAGAGACTGGAATTTCAGATTCAAAATCAGTAAAATTCTTCAGCTTCTTTTCAGCTCCATGATGTTCCTTTGAACAAGGAGTCTCAAGTAAAATTGTGTATTTTATTTTAAAAATTTAGAGAGAAGCCCGAGGGGCAACAAGTTAAGTCATTAATTAGATGTTCGTAGAAGTATAATTTCAATATTTCAAAAATTTGAACGGCAACTAAATCAAATCAACAAAAAATATGAATAATTTTTTTTTAAATAAAAACGCCATAGTTTAAATAGAAAACTAATTAAATAATAAGGACTGTAGACGTAATTTTAGGTGATCCTCCATATCTACAGCGTCGTGTCAATTTGTATCAAAATAGAAAACCGAGTTGGAGAATCGGGAGTCTCGAGGAATATGTTGTCAGCTGCGTTATGTTCACAATGTACGCTAGCGTACCTGATAGATTATTAAAAACCATTTTATAGGTACATATACGAATTACTCTGCCGTGGATGATCAGACAAAGGTTTAAAGTGCACTGTTGTGAATCGAGCATGCCCATCGTTCAATGTAGGTTAATTTGAACTGACGCTTTTATATTTCAAACTCCATGTTTTCCTGTTCTGATCCACTATCACCATTCAAGGATCGTTTGAGGTTTGTGTAGAGCTGAGGTTTTCTCTTGACAGGCTTAATATCCACTACCTTCTCTACAGAAGTCATATCCTGAACACAAATAATAGTTTTCAGTCTGTTTATTACTAGCTCAAGCATGACTGGCGTTGCCCGTGGAATTAAAAAATTTAACTTTATAGAAAATTCAAATTTTGTTAGAAATTATTTGAATTTTGAAGAAAAAAAATAATTCGAATTTTGAAGAAAAAATGTCGATTTTTTAGCCTATATTACCCCCGGGGTACAAATGGGCTTCTTAAAAATTAAAGAAGGTTATTTTTTAAAAATCGGTTTAATTGAACAAAATTTGATTTGGGGGGGGGGGTCGAAATAATATTTTCAACCCGAAAACCTTTTCTCGAGAAAATGTAACACATTATCTGATTTTAAAATGTTTTGTTATGATGCCTAAAAGTATCTGATTCTCCCCGCCGCAAAGAAAACTCGTCCGTCATCGGAAAGAGCATATCCTCTGGAATCCGACCAGCCTCCTTTCCGCCGTTTCCGTTGGATTGATTGGAAGTAATCTTGTTTGTCTGAATATTTGTAGATTTGTTGACAGGTTTTTGTCTGGCGTACTGCGAGTTTTTGGCCTGATTACGTTGGGCCTGTTTGTGCACAGCCTAAACATATTGTAAACATACATTTCTAAGCCTAAATTATAAGACAATAATAATACTCAAGTGCAGTCATAGATATAAAACAGGAATTTGGTTTGGAAAACAAATATTTTTTTAAATGTATAAAATTGAAAAAAATATTTCAACTTCTGTTTTCTTTTCTTTATTACAAAGCATAATTTTACAAAGTTAAAATTCTGACTGGTGTGACATTAAAGGGAGTGTTCGCGAAAAATGAAAGGGGGTATAGGCTTAATGCGATAAAAAAGCGCTTTTGATCGCTACTAATCTTTCTTCTTTCGGTTGCGTCTATAAGGAGAAAAGTGTTAAAGACGTCTCATACCGAATAACATGGCGGCCATACAAATAGAGAAAATTGCAACATACGACTTAGACCGTAAAAAATGAAAAAAAATAATTCGAATTTTGAAGAAAAAATGTCGATTTTTTAGCCTATATTACCCCCGGGGGTACAAATGGGCTTCTAAAAAAATTTAAGCCAATTTTTATCCAGTCGTTTGGCCAGCTATAGCTAACTTATAAATATATATATATATGAGCGAAAAGATTTATTATATAGATTTTGAGAAAAGAAAATATATCATAGAAATAAAATCTCTATTATTTATCCACCAAAGCATTGGTTATCAATTAAGTTATTGTCCACTGCGTATAACAGCTGATATGAACAATTTCAATGCATAATACTTTTCCCCCTGGAGAATTGTGATTTACATATAACCCCGTAAATGTATCATACATTTGTTTAATGAAATTTGTTGAAAAATTATTTTAATTGAAATCATTTCGGCTAAACAAATACAAATGGGTTATTTAAATAATTTGTAGTTCAATATAAAGAATAAAGACAATACCTCTATTTTATTAAGATAAACTTTCTGAAGAGTTTTTCCCATAAAAACGATATCCTGGTCTGGTTTATTATACAGGAAACAGTTAAAGAAAACAAGGTCTATATCCTTCCGGCATTCATCAGCACACCAGTAGTACTAAACAAGTAATCATCAGTACACCAGTAGTAATAAACAAGTATCATTAGTACACCAATAGTAATAAACAAATAATATTCAGTACACCAGTACTAAACAAGTAATCATCAGCACACCAGTAGTACTAAACAAGTATCATTAGTACACCAATAGTACTAAACAAATAATATTTAGTACACCAGTAGTACTAAACAAGTAATCATCAGTACACCAGTAGTACTAAGCAAGTAATCATTAGTACACCAATAGTACTTAACAAGTAATCATTAGTACACCAGTAATAATAAACAAGTAATCATTAGTACACCAATAGTACTAAACAAGTAATCATTAGTACACCAGTAATACTAAACAAGTAATCATTAGTACACCAATAGTACTAAACAAATAATATTTAGTACACCAGTAGTACTAAAAAAGTAATCATCAGTACACCAGTAATGCTAAACACGTAATCATCAGTACACCAGTAGTGATAAAAAAGTAATCATAAATACACACGAAGTACTAAACAAGTAATCATTAGTACTCCAGTAGTACCAAAAAAGTAACCATCAGTACACCAGTAGTACTAAACACGTACTGATCAATAAACCTAGGTAGTACACCTAACGATTAATCATTAACAAAACTGCAATTGAACATTAGTATACATACATCAGTACAATACTTAAGACTTAGTGTACAAACAAGTTACATCGGTGCAATCCATAGAAGAAACAAGAAAACATCAGTTTAGACATTGCACTGATCAAGATATCAGTACAATTCCAAAACTAGTTTTATTAACAACATTAAAACAAAGACTACCTTATTCATTAGGCGCTTTTTAATAGTTCCGAAGTCCATTGGTTGTTTGATAATTGTATGGTAGTCTGGCAACTTCAGTTTTTCAGCATCAACAGGTTTCTTAAAGGGCCAGGCAAACCTAGGATTTAATATCAGTATACATACATAAGTAGTAATTGCTGTCTGTCTGTCCGATCATAACTTCGGAACCCCTTGGCCGACTCGTCTTAATTTTTTATTGGGGAACACGGTAGAACCACAGAAGTTTTTAGTTTGGTTAAAAATTCTTAGAGGAGTAAGTTGACTTTAATTAGGAAAGATTAGCTTTCAAGCGCAAAGAGCTTGTTTACCTCCTTTTTATGAATGGGGGGGGGGGATTTGTGAAGAAAGAAAAAAAAATATTTAAATACTAAACTAAAAGTTCATTCAGTGCTTTTTTATCCTATTTTCCATTTAGTCTACTGTTCTATAAATATTACAAGATATAGGTAGCAAACATAAATCCATGATTATTTTAGGGGGAAGAATACAATACCTTTATCATATGAGGATTATTTGTCAATAGTTTATTTTTCAGAATTACCCCAATACTCCCCCTAGAATATGGGGGAGGAGGAGGAAAGGATTTTTAAAAACATTTGTTACTCTGGAAAAGGTTCAGATAATTACAATGCAAAGCTTAGAATACCTGTGATTCCATAAAGGTCCCATAATATTCCGTTTAATGAAAAGAAGCTGATTCGTGTTTCTTCCAGGACGATCCGCTGGAGGGTAGGTTGGAGGGTAAACCTTACCCTTAACTGGTTTTATAGGTATTATTTGAATAGGAGGAGGAGGGGGTGGAGGGGTCCGTAGTTTTATCGGAGGCACTATGGGTTTCACAGGCACACTTGGAACTACCGAGAGTTCGGCTAAAGGCACTTTTGATTCTATCTCGTCTTTATTTTTGGATTCTGAATCTTCAGATTTATCTGGAGGGGATTTAAATGCTGGTATTTCTGACTCCATTGAAGTAGGATCTTTGTCTGTTGTCTCTCCGCTGAGAAATGCCTCAAAGGCGTTTAAAAAATCCGCCATCTCTGCTTCCGCCTTTAATCTGGTCAGACCTACTCATTCACCCAGGAATAATATTTTAAAGTAACTTGAAGCGTTATTTCAAGTGACCCTCCATGCAATGATGGCAATGTCTGATTTACAACGGTACCTATAAAAGCTGTCTCATCAAGAATGAATTTGACATCTATGTTTTTGTTTTACTGGTTATTTTGCATTACTTGCTTATATGAAGCAATGAGAAGTAATCAGAATTAAATACATTCAAAGTCCAAAAAACGGCATTTCCATATTTTGATTACTTAAAGGTTTCAAGAGGAGCATTGTAAATCAGGCATTGCCATCTCTTCATGAAGGATCACTTGAAATTACGCTTATAGTCCCTTAAATTTCATAGATTTTGAAACAGTAGATTAAAAGTTGAAAAGGCAGTCATTATATAACACATTGTTTGATTGATGGGTTGCCTAAACAATAATCTGAAAGAGTCCTTAGCAGCATTCTGCCCTCCAGACACCCTCACCCCTCATCCTGGAACAAATTCAAAATACAGGGGTTTATATTTTAAATGATTTAGTTTAGATGATTTTTGATGCTCGGGGGGGGGGGGGAATGATAAAATTGGACAATATCTGGCCCGTTTATTCACTCTTTTTTACTCTTTATATCCAAAAAATTCATTATTTGAAATAATTTTTCAAGAAAGGGTTGGTCACCGTGGTTTGAACATTTATGATTGATAGACACGCCAGCATCAAATAATTGTATACCAAGAAAAATGAAGGAAATATGATGTCTTTCTTTTACTCTCTAAAACTTAACAAATTTTACCTAACATCTAGAAAAACATCTAGAGGGGGGGGGTGATTTAATTAGAAAATGGATGGTCTGAGATTGGGAGGTGGATGTACCAATATGTGGTAAAGTTACATCGTCTATACGCGACATTTCCCCTACTGAACTTCTGACCTACTAACTTTCCGATCCACAGCAATATCGGACCTACGCCAACTGTTTAATTTTGTATTATTTGAGGGTTAGGTTAGGTTAAGACAATTTCTGGGCCGAGCACTGCGGCTAGGACAGGCTAGAGGGCCGAGCGCCGCGGCAAGGATAGGCCAGGGGGACGGACGATGCGGCCACACGTCCATATAGCAGCTGTAAAACCACGTGCTAGTAGGTAGGATGTGTAGTATAGCGGATTAGGCGTAGGTCAGAAGTGGAGCATAGCGGATTTGCGTAGGTCAAAAAATACACTACCACCAATGTACTTACCTGTTTTGAAGGGCGTCCAGTTAAAACTCCAACATTTTAATTGTATCAATCTATGCAAAATATTTAATCATCTATATCTTGTGGTTCTAGTTTAAATTGCTTGAACTGGGAACTGTTTGGGTCCGTCCTAGAGAAAGATTTTTAGAACCCTCTCCCTTCCCCCAGGCCCTCCCCCCACCCCTCCTATCAATTTTGTACATGACCACCTTTTCAACAATTTTTAATTAAAGTAGTATTTATTTAGGGTAAGGTTAGGTTAAGACATTTCCTGGGCCGAGCGCTGCGGCTAGGACAGGCTAGGGGGCCGAGCGCTGCGGCCACATGTTCAATTATATCCATGTCCTACATGTAAGATTAGTATACATTTAGGGTTAGGTCATATTAAGACACTTTCTGGGCCGATCGCTGCGGCTAGTACAGGCTAGGGGGCCGGGCGCTGCGGCCACATGACCAATCATATCCATGTCTTACATTTAAGATCCATGTACAAAATTGATAGAAGGGGGNTGTATGACGATATATAACTTTACCATTGTTTTTTCTTTACAATCCAAGTCTAAATGTAGTTGTATTCAGGCGCGGATCCAGGGGGGGTCTTGAAAAAAGGGGGTCGTTTTAAAAAATCGTCGTTTCGTTGATGATCGTTATAACGACGACCCTTCGTGACAACGATCATTAACGACAAACCTTCCCTAACGATCGTTAACGACGACCCTTCGTTAACGATCGTTAGTACAAATAGAGGAAACCGACCTAAAAAGGCATCTGTACTTATCATTGAGAAGTTTTAAAGAAAATATCAAGAAGTTTTAGCTTTCTAACAACTGTATACTTCGACATGGAAGATGATCATTTTTCACAAAAACGCTCGTTTTTATAAAGTTCTTCGTTTCGTTAACGATCGTTAACGACGATCCTTCTTTTTTAAAAAACAATTGTATATAAAACGGTAATAAATCGTTTTTATAAACCAATCGTTTTCTAAAACGACCGTTATTCTTTTTCAAAAAGTTCAAAGCGAGTGGGTTGTTTTTAAAAACGAATCGTTTTTTCCGAAAACGAAATGATCGTTAAAACAATAACAATATTGTTTAACGATCGTTAAACGATTAAAATCCCTAGCTTTATGCACATATTTCTATATACGCATAAAGCCCTATATAACCTGCAAACCAAGCCAATTTTTGCTTTTGTATTTATTTTTCTTGGATGTATCAGATTTTTGTACAATTTGATAAATCCGAAAACCCTAATATTTGAGTAGTGCCAGATTAATTTTTCAGGAACTTTTTATGTTTTTAGACTTTTAAAGGTATTACGGCAATATAAGAAGGTTCCAACATTTTATAACTTTATTCTCTGGAAGTTTACCAGACATGCAAATTTGTTACCCTCGAAGAAAATATAAGGCAAAAATGATAGATTTTGGGTTTTTAAAAAGATCGTTTTTAGTTCGTTTTTGCCTTATGTTTTCACCTAGGATAACAAATTTGCATGTTTGATAATAGTAAACTTCTTCAGAAGACAATTTCAAATCGTTGAACCCGTAAATCTTTAAAAGTCCAAAAGTATTAAAAGTTTTTTTTAAAAAACGAATCTAGCAATTGCCCATCGCTATATTTCAACCTAAAGGAATAACCACAAAGAATAGAAGTTAAGAACAGTTTTGGCTAGAGATTTAGTTAAATATGATCTCATTAGACTTTGAGTAAAGTAATCGTTAGAGTATTAGCATCTAGATTTGTTACATATATATATATATATATACATTTATATATGACATATATAATATATTCACAATCATTAAAATAAATCCAGTTTTTTACAGAATAAATGTAATTAGAATTAAAAAATTTGAGTTTGTGACAGAAACTAAATTCTTTTGGGTTGTTTGTTGGCTTTTATCCAAGAAAGGTCCAAACGTCTGAACCAATTGGTTTGCAATAGCTTCAAGTTTGACAACATCATATTTTTGTATACATGTAATAAATATACCGTATAGTAGCAATATATTAGTAACCTGTTGTCTACTGCAGTTATCCTAATCCATCAGTCTTTAAACTACCTGCATTATTAGACTAAATATAGGACAGTTGTATTTTAGACTCTGAATACGAATGGTTTAGTTAATCATTTATCTGAAGAGAAATAGATTCAGAGAGCTTTAAGTGTGAGTTATAAAATACTTAGAGACACTTTTAGAGATTGGGCATTGTTACATACACAGAATGGTTGACAAAGACCAGTTAAGTACATTTAGATTTAACGAGTGTAGTGTTAAAAAATACATTATAAGAAGTTTATTTGTTTTTAATAAATTAAAAAGACTTTCAATTTTTAATACATTGATTTACATGTTGAATATTGAATACTAAAGGTTGGTAAACAATTGTTAATCCTAGTATCCAATAGAAGCAACAGAATAGAACAAATATTGTAGGTTTTATATACATCGTCAAATATCTAGCCACCAGGATTTTCTGGTTCCTACATAGATAAATATATATACACTGATAAAGGATCGATTGATATCAATTATAGGTATGTTGCACAAAAATTAAAGAAGTAATATAGTTTGAAATTGGAGAAATTGAAATTGAGTTTGCGAAGTTGAATTTTTCAATGTTATGGAATTTCACGGGTCTGAAAAAAGTGCATTTCTTCTAAAACTTTCAGACAAATGCGCAGCTTTATTCTTGATAAACGGCAATAAAGACCCCATAGTTTACAATGTGTAGGACCGAAGTTTCCTTCCTTCTGATTACCACAAAAGAAAGGGCCACAAAAACGTTATGCCTGGTCTTTCAATGGAGTTTGGGCGCAAAGGAACTGAGTTTTTGCCACAAACTCTGATTTTCTTATCCCAATATCTGTGCAACCCAATGTCGTTATAGACCTTAGACATTTCAAACTATGAATTCAGTTAGATCAAATAATCAAAATTTGAAATCTCAAAAAATTACATCATCAGGTTGCAAAGATATAGGGATCAGAAAATTAGAGTTTGTGGCAATGACTCAATTCTTTTCACCATGCAAGAAAGCCCACTTTAAGTCAATTATAAAAATAAATATATTATTTAATATATATAAAGTTCTTAATAATTTTTGTTTTCTTCTAAAACCCTATTTTAATCTGTTGAAATAATATGTAAATACAATGATACAAAAGATTTGGGTCTTATTTTTACAACATAAATTCGGGTTCCTAATCCTAATTCAGACCGAATGAAAAAAAAAGATAATTAGTTCCTCTTCTTTTTTTTTCAAATTTTTTTTTCATGTCAAAATAGGAATAAAGGAAATGTTCACCCTGTATCAATTATATCCTTCCTGTTACTTCTCAGAGTCAGCTCTGGTTGTATTGCGACCAAATTCTAGATATTAGATAAAAATGGAAAAATTATGATTTATTTCATTTTATTTTTTCACAAAAATGATCAAAAGAAAATTTTAAATCTAGTAATAAAAAAACCTTTCTAAGGGAGTTAGAATATGTCTGAATCAAAACTTCCAAGAAAGTTACAAGAACACTAAACAGCATCCAAATATCAATCATCTTCATATATCCTGTCTTTGATCCAATATACCTTATTATACAAAATTATTATTTTTTAAATTGTAAAAAAAACTTTTAATGCTTGGACTTTGAATCCCAATGCAATAGAATGGCATTGACCATTAGTGCAAGGGGTATACATCTTTAAGAATTAACCCATTTTCTTATAGCTCGCGGGGGAAGGGTAAAATTGGATTTAATTTGCGTGCTTCTTAAATACTTAAGCTCTGTACAAAAATTTTCTAATGTTAAAAGAATATGTAATATATTTAGGGAGAAAGGACAGGGAAAGAAATTAATTGTTTAAAGAAAATATGTACTCTTCTATCAACAATAAATATTTATCCCTATAAAATTATATATATGTACATACATGTTTGTCAAGACAAGGAGCACAGTCAGATTTACAGTAATGGAGACATCAAAATGTTCGTCACTGTAGAAGTTGGTAAGGTGGGCTATGAAGTTCATGATAAGAGTTGGCAGACATGAGATCACAAAGAATGAGATTAGTTGTCTACCCAGCTTTATCTCTATTCTAAACAGATAATAGTGCATTTCTGGGTTCTCGAACTGATTTTCTTAATATGAGTTAGCTCGTTCAACTACCTCCCGTTTATTCAATTTATTATCTGTAGTTCTGCAGTGTAGTTGTTTACACTCAAGGGCATAGGATAGATGATTCAGGACATGTCCTATAGATGATAACTACACTGCAGAATCGTTGGTATGGTAGTTCAGTCACCTAGTTCAAATACATTAAATTCGGTCCCTAGTAATTATTGAAACTTGTGTAACACCCATTAAAAAAATACTGCAATGCCTTTTATTTGACCGAAAGCTGGGAACTCTTGAATTGTGGATATCAAGATTCAAGATCAATGCTCAATCTCGATCTTTTGTTAATCTGCGGATTAATTCAATCTTTATTCGATATCCTGAATGGGTCATTGTATCCTGAATGGATCATTGTATCCTGAATGGATCATTGTATCCTGAATGGATAACTGAAATGAAAAGATTAAGTATTGATCTGAAATTAAAGGTGTGCCCACTGTGGATATCTGGATCTAGTGGATTATGATTATCCAACACATGACACACTGGTTGGGGGACAGGGTTGTCCTTGTAACTTAAAGGGACTGGAAAATGAAAGGGGGTATAGGTTGAAACCTAAGCATTTTAAAAGTTTATCGAGACCCATAGAAGGTCTATCTGATGTTCCTGTATCGAGAAAATGATAAAAAACTGTTTCAAAGAAACTGAGATTTTGCAACGAGCTAAACTTATACTTTTTGGACTAACAGAATTCATAATTTGAAATATCAAAGATCCACGACATCGGGTTGCACATATAAGGGGATTATAATTTTGGAGTTTGTGTCAAAAACTCATTTCTTTTTTACAACAATTTATTTATATTAATATCACGTGACAATGCTACTGCACTGCAATTGGTGGGAGTTCTGGTCACGTAATACAGACGTATCTTTTATACTATAAATTATATCTATTAAAAATGAAAAATTATTAAATTCAAGTAATAATAGAAGCAAACCTAAGTTTTTTAGGCTCCTCCGGAATATCGTCGTTTTCAGATCAGTTGTGCATTTGCTGAATAAGATTTGTTAAAACCTACGATTTTTATACAAAATTTTATATAAATATAAATTTTCCTATAAATTTGACACAGTTTTATATAAATTTCTCTAGACAGGAACATCAGATAAAACTCATATGGGTTTCGATCAAATCCTAAAATGCTTAGATTTCAGCCTATACCCCCTTTACAGTCCCTTTAATAAAATTGATCATAAAAAGTGAAAAAGTAATCGTTAAACTAACCGTATCCCCTCTCTTCCTAAGAACTGAAACCTACACATGGTTATAGACTCAACTAGATAATCTGCAATACTATCAGATCCATGGTATCCCACTCTCCCTGGTTCCAGCTCAACCAACTTCTTCTGTTTATCTGTGAGTAGAAGATCAATGGTGCAATACTGTTCATCGAATGGGAACCAGCGTAGATTAAATTCACATGCAAGCTTTGAACTAAAGGTTGTATTTTTCCTTACTAGGACTTCTTTTCCAGTATAAATGAAGTAATTTTGAAAGTGTTCAATGCCTGACGGGATAAACCTGCACAAATTAAAACTTTTTGATAATTTTCATCTTTTTTTTAATATATTGTAAATGTCTTACCTTGTTATATTTTTAGGAATAATTAGAATAGATTCCTCGTAGACAATTGAATTTTCTATTTTGTTCTGAACAATTACAACTGGTTGCCAAATATCATCCTGTTCACTATTAGTGAGACTGTTCATACCAATGTTTTCTTTCAAGTTTTGGAAATTTAATCTTAATCGATCACATTTGTAACACAGATAGTGAAGTGATTATGATCTAGCTTTGCTGAGTCCTGAGGCCAAATTTAAAGAATTTGAGCCGCGGCTTAAATCTAAGTCGTGGCTTAAATATGGTTGGTTCCATTTAAGATTGTATTTAATGTTTCAAGATTTACACCGGCGTTTAATTGAAACCGGTTTTTAGCGGATTTAAGACGCGGCTCAAATTCATTAAATTCGGACACTGATTATGTTGGTTTTCTTAGTTTCAAACAATTAAAAACCCACAAATTTAAAACTTTTTCAATAAAAGCGACTAAAACGTAATTTCAGTGACCCTCCATGAAAAGATTTCATCATTCCAATGCCCGATTTACAACGATAACCTTAAAAGCTTTATAAAAAATGTACAAGATATTGTCGTTTTTCTAGGATTAAATGTGTTAATTCTGATTACTCTTATACAATTTTCTGCAGTAGAGATGCTCAGGTCCCAATGGAAAATCATTAGTCTTCCAAATTAAATCTAAACCTTGATATCTAATTCATGCTTTATCAAACAAAGCTTTTTAGGGTACCGTTGTGAATCATGCATTGAAATTGTTGCATGGAGGGTCACTTGAATTTTTCGGTTACAGTCCCTTTAAAAAATGTATAATGTCCGTTAAGGGGGGTGGGGGGGGAATTTTTGTTATTTAATGTGACTCTTCCTTGGATCCAACCATTCTAATGACATCTCATATTTAGCTTTGAAGTTATTTCCAGAATCATCAATCTCATACAATCGCTCTATTGCAAAAGATAGCAGCACTTTGGCTCTCAAGCTTGGATCATCTGGACTTGGGACAATTCCTTTCTGATATTGTCCTTCTCCTGGGTTAAATGAGTTGTTAAATTAGCTTTAAAGTAGACAAAATATGTAGTTTTTTAGCAATATCTTAATTAATTGTTTCCAATAAACGTTATTATAGCTTAATCAATTGGGCTCAAATTTGTTATGGGGCCTGCAATGGCCAGGTTAATGCTTAGGATCCATCTAGTTTTAATCAGGATCTATCCTATAATAAAATTTATTCTGATCTAGATCCAGGTAATAAATATTTCTTTAAGTTTTCCTTGCATTTTTTTTACCAAAAACAAGTTTTTAACTTTTAATTGTCTTTTTTATTTTAAACTTTAATTACATTCAATGCTAAGGAAAGTTTGAATAGTCGATTTATTAGCTGACTCTTAAAATGTGTGAGTATTGAGAGCCACATTTTTTTTCTTGATGCTTAGGTTGATACTTCGTTATTTATATCTGAATTCATAAATCAACATATTTTTGCAGATCTATGAATTCAGAAATCCAGAAAGCTAAAATTTTCCTAAGCACTGCTCTTTTAGGATGTGTTATAAGCACAAAGAATTTTAAAATCTTAAAAAGTAAACAATGAGAAGTTTTGATATATAAAATATTTACCCCAAATAATAGTTTTACATCCTTGTTCATCACTTTCATCTTGGCAGTCAGATTTACCATTGCACCTATGGAAATTTTTAATTCTATTTTATTTAAAGGAATTTTAAGCGTCATTAAAAGTGACCCTCTATGCAAACATGGCATTGCCTGATTTACAACGGTACCCTTCAAAGCTTTGTCGTATGAACTTTGACTAAGTTGTTTATAATTTTGAAAAAGATTATTTTAAATTGTGGGTTCTCTACAAAAGTGAGTTGCGCCTTTCTGCTGCGGAAAATATAGAAAAACTATCAGAATTAAATACTTTTAAACCTTGGTTTAACCTTAATTCCATAGAAATACATTGTCCACTGTAACAGTTAAATTGTGTATTCATACATGACACTGAAAAAGTTTTAATGAAGTAAATAAAATATTACTAATTGCCAAATGAAAGAATTGAATACCTAGGCTCAGGGAAATATTATTATTGTTGCATTTTTCAATATCATTCTCTATCGACCATATATTAGTGCCTAAAAACGGAATTTGTACCAATGCCAAAACAAATTTTAGCTTCTATTTTTAATTTTAGGAATTTATTGAATTTTTTAAAAATTTGTTTGAACATTATGAACAAGTTCAGGATGAAGGTTTTCTTTACCTAATGGTAACTCATCATACTCCCCTTTCATCCTGGCCAGTGTAGATTTTCCTAGAACTCTACGTCAAGTTGTTAACAAAAATTTTAGAACTGAAGCTAAAATATTAAAAACGGTAATTGTCTTTTCTTTTATTTTAACATACCAGTTTTTTAGACAATCCTATCATATGCATTTTAAGGTATTAGTGTCAAAAATGAGGCTGAATTCTTTACCTGATAACCCATTCTTTTGTTGACATTTCATAATAAATATCGGTTGGTGGTCCTGGTCCCATTGACTTTCGGAAAATCAGACCAGATCGCTTCGTAAAAAGTGGCAAGAAATTGGTGGTTATGCCCGAATTTGAACAAAGACCTCTAAAAATGTATATTATGAAGGCTTCTTAGCGTTAGCCATAACTACACTTTTCATGATATTGTCATCATATTGTCATAAAATTGTCATAATATTGTCATAATATTGTCATAATATTGTCATAATATTGTCATAATATTGTCATAATATTGTCATAATATTGTCATAATATTGTCATAGTATTGCCATAATATTGTCATAATATTGTCATAATTGTATTTTTAAGATTGGTCCTTGCATACCTTAATATTAGTGTAGGAAACTCCTCATTTTGACAAATAGTCCCATATTCCTCTAAATTACATTCCCTGTCAAAAACAGCAAATTCTTCTATGGTTGTTTGATATTCTGCAGTAACACAGTTCTGTCTTCTTAATCCGTTTGGTTCAGGGTCACCTTTAAACAAGGCATTTAATCTTCATATTTGATAATGTAATTTTTTTTTACTTACTTTGTCCCCATTCTGGGGAAGAGCTCCATTTCAGAGACAATGGATTAGAGCTGTTGTATATATTCACAAAACTTCCTTCATTTTCTTCATCAGAGTATGGAATCCAAAACTTTGAGAGGCCGGTGTAATCTTTATACCTTTAGATCGTGTATTATTAGCAGTAGTGTTCTTAAGAAATTTAATCTTTGCCACAAATTATTATGTTTCAGTCTTTTCATATCTTTGCAATCTATGTCGTAAACCTTAGATATTTCGAGCTATAAATTCTGTTAGATCAAATAAGTTTGAAATATAAAAGGTTTACACAATCGGGTTGCAAAATATAAGGATTAAAAAATTTGAGTATGAGGCAAAGATTTAATTCCTTTATCAAAAATTGGTTTCTGACCTTTTTGATTTTCTCTGAAAATTCATCATATTTTCAAAATCAATAAGTTGCCCATTGCCTAGAGCTTTGCAAAGCAATTTCCCCTCATCAAACCTCCGCAGAACATTCACAAACAATATGGGCTGAAAATAAAGATTTAAATATAAAACTCATATTTTAATAATTCAAAATAGATTACCTTTTTAAAGTAGCAAATTTCTTCAAAATTTGTTTCTAGCCAAATGGTGTCATTTGCATTATTTTCTATATTCCAACTTTAAATCAAAAGAAAGAATTATAGTTGCTTAAAATGACTGTAAGCGTAATTCCAAGTTTCCCTCCATGTAAAGATGGTAATGTTTAATTAACAATTGTACCCTTGAAATCTTCATCTGATTAACAATATGGAAGATGGTCGTTGTCATAAACAGACATTGATAGTTAATTAATATTTTTTCAGATAAAGCTTTTAAGGGTACCGTTGTGAATCAGGCATTACTATCGTTGCATAGAGGGTACCGTTGAAATTATAAAACTTAAAGCCCCTTTAAAAAAGGCTTTGTTTTCGGATCCTTCCAACATTTTTTATTAAGTACCAACCTGGGAATAATATTAGTTTTTATTGATTAAATATTTTTTTAAATAAATTAAAATTTTTTGGACATTTGAATTATCTTCAAAAATGTCCCATCAGCCAAACCATGTAAGATGTGTTCCAAATCTATATATATATATAGATAAGTATATCCATAAACCTACTCTGAGTGCGCTAAGAGATGCTAAAAACCCATATATTGGATTAAACCTAGTTTTAATTATTAAATAAAATTTTATACCTGAGCCTGTCCAGATTAATAAGTGTTGGGTTAGTACAGTTACATTTAATATTGTTGAGAGAATATTCGCCTAGGACTAATCTCAGATATCCAATCATTGAATAGTATTTCTCATAGTATCTTAACATTAATGATGGATTTCAAAGGTTTTAAGGTAAAATTTCTTGATTTATTCTATCAGAGCTGGAAACTCTTGTATTCTGGATATGAAGATCATTGATCAATACTTTATCTCCTCTTTATTTTATATCCAGGAAAGGGTTTAAAATTCAACCTAATAAGAGTGTCGTCATTTGCAGAGACCGAATAACCAATCAGAACCGGGAAAATTTTGTGCGCAACCAATGAAAGAACTCTAATTAGTTGTAACCCAGAAGGGATATCCATAATGAATATTGAGATTAAGAGAACGGGATAAAGAGTATCCAACACTAAAATTTACAGAGGCTGAATTTAAAGAATTTGAGCCGTGGTTTAAATTTAAGAGACGCAGCTTAAATATGGTTGGTTCCACTTAAAATTGTATTCAATATTTCAAGATTTAAGCCGGTGCTTAATTGAAACCGGTTTTTGGCGTATTTGAGACACGGCTCTTTATCAAGTTCGGACTCAGATCATATGTATTTATCTTTTTTTCATGCTAAAAAAATCCTCGTTACTTACTTAGTATTAGGTCTTCCAAGAGTAATTTTTCCTTCCAATGTTTTTGGTGTTCGTTCTATTGTCACTGTGCTGTTAAATTTTCTGTTTTCAACAAGAACTTTTTCATTGACAGCAAAACTGAAAAGAAAAAACGCAAAAATTTAGTTTTTCCAATTATCGGAATGTGAAAAAGTTTAAATGCATGCAATGATATAAATTTTTGTTTGAATTGAGATGTTAGGTTAAATTTACATGTTAGTGTAAGTTATATGTATTTCTCAACATTTAAAAAGACAGAGTCTAAAACTAAAGAACGAAAAGGTTTGACTTAAATTTTAAGTTCATGGTTAAATGCCACGTCTGACTTAATTTAAACCTGAACTTTAACCGTGAGGTTAAATATTTAACCCTGTGGTTAAATAATTAACTCGCCAAAATCGACGAGTTTAAATTTAAACACAGGGTTAAAATCTTGAAATCCAGCAATCCCTATTTGTCTATCATCATTTCAGCGGTAGGGGCATTCAACTAATTACGATATATTTAAAAGTAAAAACCTTGATTTAATAAATTTTACGTTTTAGATTAATTAATGTTTGCACGTAAACCCAAAATACGGTTGTAACTGGAAATATGTTTTGTTTTCCGTCACGTAAATAATTTAAAATTTAAAAAACAGCTGATTACCGAATATCGATACTTACGTAATAATTCTTTAAATCCTTTCTCTGATTGGTTCAGATTTTTCCCGGGAAATTCAAATTTAAAATTGAGAAAGTTTAATATTTAAGTAGCTATTCATTATTTTACAGAACTTTTAACCTCAAACTTAAAATTCGTGCATTCTTTAGTTTTAGACTCTGAAAACGTAATTTCAAGAGACATCCTCTTGATGACAATACCAGATTCCCCACTGTACCCTTAAACATTTTGTCTGAGGTATAAATTATAGATCAATGTTTATAATTTTGAAAACTGATTATTTTCCATTTTGATTTCTCTACAAAAGCGCAATTCTAATAAAAGGAAACGTCTAGGAATTATTTAAAATAAACATTTTATATATGTCCCTACAAAACTGCAATTCTTCTACACCTGATTGATCGAAAAGAGGTTTCAAGGGTACCTTTGTAAATCGGGCATTGCAATCTTTGCAAGAAGGGTCACTTGAAATTATGCTTGAGTCCATTTAATGCTGTTTAAAACATGATTAAAGTGGCAATTCTTCTTTAAAAGTTAGATGTTAAACTTTTAAACTTGTTGTCAGTGCTACTTACTGTCAAATTAACATGGCTTTTAACTATTTTAAAATACAAATACATTTAATGTATATAAAACATTTGTTACCTAACAGAACTGTTCAGTGCATTGATTTGTATGCAAGAGAATACCCATGTGGGACGAATCATGTTTTGAACCCTCCCAAGCTCATGCCAAACTGTCAAAAATATACCAAATACAATAAATTGAAACTCTTTTGTGGATTTTTATTAACATTCTAACATTGTTTTGTTTAATATTTTTGTTATCCCTTTCCCCTACTGTCTACTATTTTTCTGCTCTTATAGTATTGCTCCCAATCCTTCATTGAAATATTAATCTCTAAAAACAGATTTTATAAAGATTAATTCTTTACCTTCAGATTCTTGGTTTGCTAGAATGATGTAGAACTTGTTTTCTATATTTGCCAGTGCAATCCAAGGATTCTTTTAAATCATTGTTATATCCTTAACTTGACGAGGGGTGTATATTTTAATCTTTTTTATTCACCCCCCACCCTCCTTTAAAGAATAATTTTTCCCCACCTGATGTAATTTTTAAAATTATACAGGGTGTCCCACGAAACATGACAGTATGCAGGACGACTTGAATGTCGTCTTGATTTTTGATATAATTTGCTGCGTTTATTTTTCAACCTAATTTTAGTCCCCCCTCTTGTATCCGCCCCTGCTCCTGTAACTACGAGAAATATTTCCAGACATTAATAATTTGAAGACTCAGGAGAATATTTTATTTTATTTGTTCAATTTAAAGACTACATGATACACTGAAAAGTTAACCTTGTAATGAGTAAACGCAACTTGAGTCACCCTTGAATAAAGTGTCAAAGGGTATTTTTAAAGAACATTGAAATTGGGTTTACATCCAAAATGATTAAATTTAAAAAATGGTTTACAATACTTTCCTTTTTGTTGTCCATTATATTGAAGTAGACATACTCATAACTAAATTAATACAAAAAATAAAAGAAAACAATTAGTTTAGGGGTCCAACTTTTTGAAAAATGTCGGACCCTCTGCGTCCCCTCCTATAAATTTTTTATATGACCCTGCTTGCGACTATTTTTCAACGCGAATTGTTAATATTCATTTTATTTTATTACATGGATGGGCAAGGTTAAGTCAATTTTTTGGGCAGAGCACTGCAGCTAGGACAGACTAGAGGGCTGAGCGCTATGTCTAGGCCAGAATAGGGAGCCAGGCGCTTCAGTCATATGTTTAACTTTGCCCATGTGTTACATATAAGCTCCATGTACAAAATTGATGGGAGGAAGGGGGGCGGAGGGGGTCCAAAAATTGTTCTCTAAGAAATTACATAGTTTAGTTTTACCTAGATAATGATGCTGCAAAATGAGACACACATATTGTGAACTAAAGAAACATATGTAAATCATGAAAAGAAAACCTCCTTGTTTGAAAATTCAGGCCTATAGGTTTGCAATGTCAAAGATCTATTAAAATTAAAGTGGTTTCTGTTCAAGTATTGAATCAAAATTGTAATTGGCAGCTCTTGGTGCAAAGAAGATAATTTGGAAGGAAAAGATGTAAAATAATAGTTAGCAAAGCTTTCAGAATCTCAATTTAAACTTTTTAAAATCTTATTTTGCATAAAAACCAAAACTCTTTTTTAATATTTTAGTTACATTATTCTCCTGTGAATTGAGTGAAGTTGAATCTGTGAGGGTTGCAAATATCCCATTGCCTTCACTTCTTTCAGCCTAATATATGTTGATTTCCATTAGATTTATAGGATTTGCGAGTCCTAAAGTGTAATGAAAGAATGAAAGTAAAAAATTCTTGCTGTAAAATTATCTTCATTACAGTTTTTTCTTTGATCTCAAAAATGTTTACAATTTGGAAACACACAAATTTTAGAACTGAGAACAACATTATGATAAAGTATTGGATATTTATAAATCATTAATTTTAGAACTGAGAACAACATTATGATAAAGTATTGGATATTTATAAATCCCAAATAAAATGGTTTTCCACTCTAAAATAACTTTTGTGCTGTGAATCTCAGGATTAAGCACTAATCTCCACACCTTGAATTTAGATCTACAGATTAGCTTGATTCTTCCTTAATACCCGTGGTGGTCTTATCCTGCAGGAGCTTAATTGAGAAATCAAGCATGTATCATCAACTTTAAAAGTGCCCACAGCCCCGTATTGGATATCAAGATCAAGCATTCATGGTTAATGATACTCCACACAAAAGTCCATACCCTAATATAAGTTGGGTTACCTGTAAATTATATAAATTTAGAATATCTATTGAGTGAACTGTTATTGTTAGAAATATTAGAAATAATAAATTCCTTTCAACACAATTCATTTTCAGCAACTGTGGCTTCCGGTTCCGTTTAAAGCTGCGAGGCAGCTTGAAGGGGACATCCCCCTTTGAAAAATTGTTAGCTGAACTGTGAAGAGGATGTATATATATCTATTAGAGGATGAAGCTTCTGAATCCATTATTTAGAATGAATTCATCAAAATGTTTGCATGCATGACACCCATTGACGAATCAAAAAATAGTTAACAGTTTCTCTCAGTAATCAAAATTTGGAAAGGGGCAACATATTTTCCCTACCCTGTAAAATGATGTAAAAATGACAAATTAAAATGTCTGCACACAGTTTTTTATTCTCCCTTGAAAAATTTGTAAGCTACCCATGGCTAGGGAGGGGTGCAGGGCCGCTATGAGCTCCACGAAATGACCTTCAGAGCCTCCTGAAGCGCAGAATGACCTCCAGCTCCGCGAAATAAAAAAATACAGCAAGCGGAGATCAAAATGTTGGGCCCGGGGACAGAATGGCAGTGGCTTGGAGGCGTAGGGAAAGTCACGGAGACCGTTTTGTGGGGCTTGGAGGTCATAATGTGGTTCTGCGTATCAGGAGGCTCCGGAGTTCAATTTGCGGGGCTCATGGCGGCTCTGCACCCCCTGCCTGCCTGGGGGTGTTTACCTTTGACCGCCAAATCTATTTCATGTTTATTGGTTTATATTAATTTGAAGCCTTAAATTCAAAAGAAATGTTTGTATTCGCTTTGAATACAGAAATTGAATTAATTATTGCGTTTGAATGGAAATAATTGGAACCTTTCTGAAAAGTTCCAACAAAGAAATCGATGAGAATCTTTTGTAAGTACTTCATTACCACTATAGCTAAAAAAAAGTTCCTCATAGTCATTGAATGTATAGTTCTAGGGCTACAAAAAAGTACAAGAAAGCTAGTGAGTCAAAGGCCAAGGGTTTTTGACACATTAAATTTAACTCAGTTTTGAAATTTGATGCAACTTTTCATTGCAGCCTGGACTATGTGATGAGTGTGGTCTAAATCTACACAAGGCTTTCGCGGATATTTGAGTTATAGTTGCGTTTTCTTAACTCTTTTTCAATTTAATTACCTGTACTCTGAGCATGAATGTTCAGAAGATTTCTCGGATTTGTTAGCATTGATGGACTTCCGACATTTTCCGATATCGACATTTTTACCTGGGCCATTTCTTTAATTTTTACCCTCCCTAAACATTCCGTGTGTGAGCTACTACAAAAAAAAATTGAGACCATTGGGTTCAGCCGTTTTGACGTGTATTGGACACAAACCGACGAACTAGACAATCAACCCAAATATATGTTTACAACACATATATTGAACGTTCTTTAATTTGACCAAATAGTTTGTATCAGTTTTGTTGGGATAGTTTTTATTGTTATATCAATAGCTTTAGGCCTCATCCTTGTTTTCAACTTTACTTATTGATAATATTAATTACAGTCTTGGAGTCAAAACATCTTTTTTCAATTTAGTTTAGCTTTTTATTCATAAATATAAAAACAATTAAAGGGACTGTAAATATGATTTCAAGTAACTCGCAATTTATAAAGAACTAGGCTTTTTAGGCGCTTTGCGCCAATTTTCCATTTCAATTGTGAACATATTCTCATTGTATATATTGTAAAACAAAAACAAAAAATTTGCGGAATTTATCAAAAAAAACGTGAATTTTCAAAATTTAATGAAAATAAAATTTAGTTGGAGGCAAATTTTTTCAAATTTTGATCATCTTTAAACCTACCTTGGGGACATGTGAAGTCCCACCCAAAATTTGGGCCCGATCAGTTTACCCGTTTTGGTGTTTATTGGATACAATACAAACAGACAAGCAATGAGTTTTAAACATGTTGACGATCTAACTATATTTGAACTTCACTATTTATCCAACCTTTTAACTGGAATATCCTCATATCATACAACCATCATCAGATATTGGTATGTAGTAAACGCCTACTCAATAACAATTTCTCGAACAAGTATCTATCCAGGTGCAACTCAGATTCTCTTGACTATCAATGTCAACACATGGCAACAATCCGTGAGCTATCAATGCCACTACCATTAGGTGCGATCTAAATACGGACACTAGCAAGTAATTGATCAATGTCTCAAACAGGACACGATCCACACGCTGTGCTCTTCTTCTGTCCCAGCTATCTCGTTAATCTTTTAAATCATTCTGCTTTCACATTTTTTTTGATTACCCAGAACAGGATTTACCTCTCCACTGTCTTCAATGTCATGGACCCGTAGACAGTGGCTGTATTCCTTCCAGTCTGGGTCGTTCTCCAAACTCAAAATCTGCCAGAAGAACCATGACAACAGTATTACTATATGTGACATAATTGCAGAAACAATATTTCGCTCCTTCTAGTTCTATGTGTTTCTTGAAACTGATGATCCTTGCTTGATTCTCGGTTTAAACTGACTGTTATTAATTCGTCATTTTTCTTGCTTGCTGGCATAATATATGCACTATCTCTTTCTCCGTGGTACCGTCCCTTCCAATCTCCGCTTTGATCCCGCACCGGTATCATCATCTCTTGTCTCTGTTCTCTCGTAATTAATCTCTGTTCTATCTCCTCCTTATCCTGTCTGGACCTTCCATTCAAACCCAATAGGTATTTTTCCTTTTGCCTGGATGTTCAGCTTTCTCCTGATTTTCATCTCTGGTTTCTTATCCCGTAAATGTTCCGGTTTTTCTTCAGGGGTTTTCATGATTTCCATCTCTGGTTCCTTATCCCGGTATGGTCTTGTTGCTTTGGCTCATCTATCCCCTTTTTCTTTGATTCTTCTCAAATTCTGTTAATCTCATTTACTTCTCTTCCAGCTGTATTTTTCTTGACTCTGTAAGCTCTGTCTACGTTTCTACATCGTCATTTATGTTATCATTTTTCTCAGCTAGACCTGTGAGGGTAGGAGAGTTAGAACCTTGAGTCGGATTATTGAATGATTATAAAGATGATTTTTATATCCCTTTCTCTCTTTTATTCTAACCTGACAATAATTCGTTCATCCTTTCCAAAATGTCGTCTTCATTCCTATTTAATATTTTTATCCACTAATTCACTTATTGTTTTATAGGTTTACACACACGTATTTTATTCTATCTGTATCTTTATAATAAATTTTGCTTATTCTTTTTCAATACAGTGGTTCTCAAAAAACATCTATTCCTTTGCCCAATCTTTCCAATCACTCTAACTACCAATATAACAACCCTTATTTTCATCCTAGCTCTCATTGATTCCTAATCCCAAATCTTCCAATCCCAAATTTCTCTACAGCTGATTTCCATCCCAATCCCAAGTTCCTCTTTAGTTGATATCCTTTCCAATTCCTAACCTTTTTTACCTACTCCCAATTGGTTCTATCTCATTCATATACCTTATTCCCAAACCAAGCCTTATCCCAATATCGTGAACATTAGTTGATAAAGTTACGACACTATAAACTTTTTATATTATGCTTCATTTATGACAAATGACAATGGACAAGAAAATATGAATTTTAGAAGTATCAGAAAGAAATAAGCCTGTGCAAAAAACCAGCCTGTGTGAATATTTTGCGCATTATTATGCTGCCTAGCTAAAGGGGTGTTTAGATCCCTTGAAACAAAAGTTATCAATATGTTTTCATGTTTTTTACTTTTATATCTTTTAAGCCTAAAAGTGTTTATATTGTCAAATATTACTATCTTTAAATTTGCCCTGAATTTGGCAATCTGCAAAAAAAGCAGGCTAGACAGTAGACACAGTCGCTACAGAATCAGTAAAGAGGAAGGATTCAAGATGTAACTCTACAAAGAAGAAAAGAATTGTTCGACCCGCGTACCACCCTCGCGGTCAAAGCGAGTGCAAAGAACCCTATATTCTTTATGTGACCAGATCTGATCAATATACTTCTTTAATTTGCAACCACATCGATTCATTAGAGAGTGAGAACATCATATTGCTGGTTAAAGATTAAGAAGTCTTTATATTCTTATATATCCTACCATCTGAAGCTACCCCAACTCAACTTCCAAATACTTCCCCTCCAATTCATATCTCTCTTTTTCTGAGACAACCTGTTTTCACAACTGTAAGAATTGCTCTTAATCCTTTCATATCTGCTGGTTACTGGTTGTCTCTCTGATTTTTCTGGTTGATTCTCTGGAACCAGATTAACTTTCTTACTGTCTTTGCTTTGTTCTGGATACAGCTGTGGATTTTTCATAACGAGTTGGATTTATAGAATAGCTATTCGTATTATTCTCCTTGCATATTTTTCAGTTTGAACTTTCTTTCTTTCCCTGTTTTCTCAGCCTTCATTCTGTTGTTGATTTTTCTCTGCTTAACCAACTTCCTTGGCTCAGCAATTCCTCTTCTTTTATCTTGTTTTCTTCTTATCTCCTGGTCTCGATTTTTTTCTTACGTTCTTGATTCCACTCTAGGTACTTGTTTTTCTGTATCTTCTGACTTGTTTTCACTCACGGTATTTTTTTTTTATGTTTATACTCAACATATTTATCCCTCCTACTCTCTGCCCTCCTACTGCCTCCCTATTCCCTGCTAGGGTTTCCAATCGCAATAGTATTGCGCGCAATGATGCGCAATGGTTGCTTCCTTTTGCGCATTAGGGTTGCGCGCAATATTAACATTTTTGCGCATTGATTCGCAATATCTATTGCGCAAAATGTTGTCATTGCAAATATGAATTTTGCGTTATTTTTTTTACTATCTGAAGCTCAAAATCAAGTTTTTTCGCAATATTGTTTTTTTTATGCGCAAAATAACTTCATTGTGAATTGTTAATTACAATAAACGCAATGATAAGCAAAATAAAAACTGTTTTTGCGCATTATTGCGGTTGGTTTTATTGCGCAAAAGTGCGCAATCTTCATTGCGAATTGTTTTACGCAACATGCGCAAAATAAAATCATTGCGTAAAATTTAGCGCAACGAATCGTAAAAAAATGCCATTGCGTGGAAAACCTTTTCCCTGCCCTCCTACTCAACTGCCCTCCTACTGCACATTTCGAACAAACTGATTTAACTCCAATGGCAAAACAATGGATTGAAAACCATAGACCAAAAGAACTTAATCATTTGGAAGCTAAAAATAATATGAAAAAAAGTTAATGTTGTGATTTTATTTATTTAAATCAATTATTACAACTATTCAAAAAATTCAAACCAATGAATGTTTTCTGTAATTTCAAAGAGTACATTTATCATATTCTTAAAAACACATAGCCACAGACAAACCTCATGAAAAAGATTTAACAATATTAAAATCACAGAAGTCTCTCTTTTCGTTAAACCTCCTCATGTTGCGTCACATCAGCTTTTATGATCAACGTATCATTCTATCAAAAAGAAAATAATTTTTACAGGGGGTAACAATTTTGCTTCTGAAAGCGCGCTAAGGAATAACGTAAACTTTGGAATTAAAGGTACTGTAAGCGTAATTTCAATTCAAATGACCATCCGGCCTCCATGAAAAGAGGGAAATTCCCGATTTACAACGATACCCTTAAACCCGTTGTATATTCGTCGAGATGTGTAAACTTATCGAACCCCGCTAGTTTTCAGCTGTAATTTCCAATGTTCACCACTACGTACACCAAGAACTCAACATGGAAATACAAATGGGAATTTCGATAAGTTTACACACCCATATCTCATTAATAAAAGAGCACACAAAGGTTTTAAGGTTGTAAATCGGGCATTGTCCTCTATACATGGATGATCACTTGAAATTACGCTTACAGACACAGTTCCTTTAAAGGATTTAAGTTTAATTCCCGGATTATGTACGGTAAATTCAGCCAGAGATAATTAAGATATTACAACAATTGGGGAGATAGTTATAAACAAATTTAACACAAAATTTTGAATTATTTGAAATTATAAAATATTATTTCTTTTTTTCCTTAATAAATCCTCCAGCTAGCAGAGAGTTTAGTCTCACAAACTCCTTAATTAATTTTATTTTAATTTATTAATATCTATTTTTTATTTAAACTAAACATACTTTAGACTTCTAAATGGAGGGAAGGGGGGGGTATGGTTCTAGAAACACAATTTTTATCTTTAAAAAATGGAGACCACCAAAGTATAAAATATATCAACCCTCCGTCAGTCTAGATCAGACAAAAGTTGGCCTGCAGGCACCCTTGTGAATGAGACACGACACACTCAAATAAAGGATTGCTTAAGAACTAGAGTCGATTTAGCTGTAAGAAGTACATCAAAAATACACACCTTCAATGCTAGTCACATTAAGTTTGTTCTGCAAAACATTCATAATATTATATTCCTTGGATTACAAAAGATACACTGTACGGAACATAAATCTCTGGAATAGGAAGACGGCTTTAAGATTTAAGTATTTAAATATTCCAACAAAAATGAAATATAGTAATAAGTAGTACACAGACCCATTGCAATCAATAATATAAATTGATTTTCAAGCTACTTATAAAACATCTACATCAAATGTTGTCTTACTATTCAACAGTTTTACGGGTCTCATTGATTTAAAAAAAAATCTTTAACCTGGAATCCGAACCCCCTGAGATTTCTGAATGAGTTTGGTTTCTGGAAAGCTCCAAGAGCAGGATCCGACTCCAGGTGCTCAGATACATTTTCCCTTAATATATTGGGAGGTCGCGAATCATTTCTCTTAAATGTTTGATCTAGCTATTCAATGTAGGCACTTTTATCTGTTAAATATGATTATGCAAGATCGATATCTTAACCATAATTGGTTATCGAGGATTAATCAGTAGGCCTGCATATGCTGGTGAATGGTGATCAATGCTTGATACGGAGATTCACAGCACATTGGTGACTGTAACGAGGCAGGGGAGAGGTGCTTAGCCCCTGTGACCCCCGCGATTTTGACTCCGAGCCACATAATTTGCAGAATTAAATAAATCATTTGAAATGAATGCATTAATCGAAACTTTAACTCTTTTTGTTTGCAACGCTGCGCAGTGCGCATGGAGAAAAGTTTAATGATTTTTAGGTTGGCAATAGATTATTCTTTTTTCAGTGGATTTAAAATGTAATTTCAAATAACCCAACATACAGTGAAACCCTTAATAACGAATACATCGGGAGAATTTATCAAATGTCGTCTTGACAATTTTTTAATGAGTTTTATACTATATTACGTAAATTTCAGTATTTGCGAAAATAATTAAATAGCCATGCATATGCGGGAACAGTTTTAAAGAGTTCCATATAATCATAAGAATACGACATTTGATGAATTCTTTTGATGTATTCGTTATTAAGGGTTTCACTGTATATGGTACCTTTTAAACCTTGTTCTGACAATGGATAATATCCTTAGATATTTGAACTTAAAATTGATTATTTTAAAACGGCGAATTCTCTGTATACGTGATTACATATCTATGCTGTAGAAAATTGTTAAAATTCAACACTTGTCATTGAAAATAAGATGATGGGTAAATTGTAAATGCCACTTTTTAAATGGGGGGCCACTAAAGATCACGTCAACAGTTCCTTTATGGAACGCAATTGTTCACCTGTGTAGTCCTTGGCCCTGGTTTAGTATTGTAAGAAAGATTGATCCCTGGAAAGGCCAAAACACACTGTCATCATTCTCCCCCTGAAATATTTACTAATTAAGAAATGATTATTTCCTATTATTTCGTTACAATTTCGTGACCTCGTAACTCCTTTTGATTTTACGCAAAAGTATGAGGAAAAAAAATTTATTTGGTTAAATATTATCTTTTTTTTCAGCCAAAGCAGCACTTTGTTTGTTTACAATCCTCACATAAATTGCCATACACTTTTTTGAAACAAAGCTTTGTAGGTTCTAGATATAACTTGAGATTAAAAGAGAAAACAGTGAGAACCAGAAAATTGTAAACTAGAAAGACGACGTTAATGTTTAAGAGTATTTAATGTTGTTACAAAGGCAGTGGCTTTAAAATCTTCTTTTTTAGTTTAATGGGTCTGTTTAAACTGCACAATTGCTGTGTCTCATATTGTGAACCATACCCCTAAAATTACTCTGTTGTAAGGTCGTCTCTGACAAACTGTACCTTCGTTGGACCCTCCGTCCACTTACCAAACCAAACATTTCCAAGGCTTTCGCGTAAATATAAACAAAAACCTCATGGAATTTAAAGTGCATTAAAAGAATCAATTTAAACATAATTTTCAGTGAATCATTTACAAATAAACAGTGAAATTACTTTAACCAGATAAATATTTATTTCAAAAGAATTAAATTGCTTTAGACTTCAGTTCAAACAACTTTTCGCCCTACCACAGTTTTCTAGATTGTAAGTTCCGTATACTTAATTCACAACAATATCTTAAACCTTTTATTTTCCAATTCACAACAGTACCTTTTAAACCTTTATTTATCGATTCACAACAGTAATAAAATACGATCCACTAAATCTGCAAAACCTAGAAATTTCAATACCTTAAAGCCTTTATTCAATTCTCAATGGTACATGTTTATAAACCAATTGTTCGATTCACATCAACGCCCATTTATTGTTAGTTACCCTTAACTGTTTAATCTTTATTAACAATCATTATTTATACACATGTACGTCAATAACAATTTGTATTTTGTTGTAGGAAACCTTCGTTACTGAAATATACATTTTCAAGGAGTTGTTCTCATCTATGTGTGGCCGGTAGAAAAGAGTGTTTCCCTAGCCTATTCGCCTTATTTCCCTCTTTCGAGTATTATTCCTTTTGTTCGGCTCACACATATACATTGGGCTATTTAATTTCATAAATTTAGCCTTAAGTCGTCTTCCTTTTATTTTTTTGTGGGGGGGGGCGTATGGTATCTGATTTTCTTCATTACTTAACAAGGGAATCAATTCTGTCAATATACTTTTTTATCCATAAGAGAGGTACAAGAAATAATCAAAATATGTATATTCAAAGTTTGCAAACTCTTGTAAAAAAAATTGATTAGAATTATGTTTATTACTTCTTTAAATCTAAAACCAAGAAAAGTTCTTTTTGATGCTGCAACTATTTAATATCAGTTTGGATCTATGTACATATGTAAAAATATGCTCTTTTAAAAAAGATTTAAACAATTAAACATGACATTGCATTTGTCGGTAATTTAATCAAGATTTTAGTAAAGATAAAACTTCCAGTTTCGGTTTTTTAACATTCTAGAATTTAACAAAAATTTTAAAAATTTGTAATTTTGCCAAGGTTCAATTAAATGATTATGTTGAAATGAGACCTGCATGAGATGAAGAAAGACTCCCAAGTGCTGTTCTCCATTTTGCAAAGTTATATTGCACCTGAATTTCATAAGATTGTGTTACCGCAGATATTTTCATAATCATATTATTAGGTTTGTGGAAATCTATACATTTTCTTTCACATGTAATGGCCATAGTCATTACCATAGTCATAGTCATGGTTCATGGTCCATGGTCCTTGTCCTTGTCCTGGTCATGGTCATGGTCATGATCATGATCATGGTCATGGTCATGGTCATGGTCATGGTCATGGTAAAAAAAGCAAAAAAAATAGGTTTGAAAATAATTTACCTGAGGCACATTTTGTATCCATATACAGAAGAATAGAACGGTCTGAGAAGCATAATATTTTTCAACAATTCAAAGATAATTCTTTTAATTTGGTTGGAGAAGATTGATAAAGTAGTTTTGAAGGAAAATAAAAAAAAATCAAACATCCTTGCATCAAGAGCTTGTGTCATAAATATTTAAAAACGCCATGATAAAAAGTATGTTGTAGAAGTTTTTATTTTTTAATCTTTTTAAAAAACTTGGTTCAGTACTGTAATTACCCCCTGATACTCTTAATCAATGAATATTTAAAGTTTCCTTGAAAAGGAATTGAGTCTCTGCCGCAAACTCTGATTTTTTAATCCCAATATCTCTGCAACCCGATGTCGTACAACCTAGATATTTCAAACTTAAAATATTTGATCCAACAAGTGTCATAGTATGAGATATCTAAGGTCTACGATATTGGGTTGGAAAGATACAAGGATTAGAAAATCAGATTTGTGGCAAAGACTCAATTCCTTTCGTTAAAATGTGAAAATCTATTCCTGCTGTAGATTACAAAATGTGAAAATCTATTCCTGCTGTAGATTACAAAATGTGAAAATCTATTCCTGCTGTAGATTACAAAATGTGAAAATATATTCCTGCTGTAGATTACAAAACTCGGACATTCAACCATCTTCTGATACAAGCTGGCGAACCCACTAAACACAATAAAATGTTCATTCAAATTAAACTAAATTTCATTTCAGTTTAAAGAACTGTCTTATTTTCAAATATAACACTATTTTGATGAGGATGAATAAGCAACCAAATAAATTAGCTTTTTTCACTCTGGTTGTCAAATGGAAACCAGATAAGTTACGCCTTAAACATGGATTATGAGCAGTTTAACTTTTAAAGATATTATTGTCTCCTTAGTAAACAAATAGTTGATAACAATAAAATAGAACAAGAAAGCAACTTAATTTCTCAATTTCATACGTGTTCACTAATATACCGTATTTAAACGGACACTTTGTTACATTGAGAATTTCAGAAAGTGCCCTAAAGAATTATCGAAAATTTTGTATAATCAAGTAAAAAATGTGAACTATAGTCGACTTTCTTACGAGGTTTCTCGCCTGGATAACTGGATATTTTTAGCCGCTCTGAATCAACCTTGCTCTTTCTTCGTAAAAATATTCGTGATTTTTACCTAATTTTCCAGACAAACTTTCCATTACAGAGCTTTCCTTTTAATTCCTCTTCTTTCTCTGAAAGAAAAAAACTTATTCTTTTTAAAAGGAAATGTTTATTTTTACTCTGACGTAATTGGACCGATTAGAAATTGTTTTATCAAAAAAAAGAATTTAAAATTATTTTTCAAAATTCGATTTTTTTATTTCACGGGCAACGCCGGGCACTTCATCTAGTATTTTATAAAGAAAATAGGATTTTTCCTAAGCAAGGCTTGTCAAATTCCTGTTTTAATTGATGTTAATTTATTTGTTGTTGACTTCCCCACCCTAGCTCCTTCTGAAAAAGAGCAATCTCCCATAACTATCTAACTATTTAAACCTAACTTAATCTGGAAAAGTAGAATCACGGGGGGGGGGTGCAACCTTTCATATCTATAAGAGGTCGGAGCCTATATTACATTTTCATTAATTTTTCTCGCATAATAACATATTTAAAGAATAATTAAACAACAAGATAATAAGGATAATTTGTCACCTGTAGTGTTCTGGTTAATTAGAGACTCTAGATGCTCTAATCTGGAATTTTTATTATATAATCAAATTATTTAATTATTGAATTGTTTATTAGATATAAAATTTTTTTTAAAGTTTTGTGATATCCCTAAATTTCTGTGCATAATTTTGAAGAAAAAATTTTAGGATTTTTAACAGTGTACAATGTAGAAAATTGTTAACCTTTTAAAATATTTTAGATTTAATATTTTTGTGTTACCTTATTTGAAGTTGGCAATTTTTTTGCTCGGTTTGGATCAAACGTTGAAAGCATTCTCTGCAAACAAATTATTGTTTAAAAATATACTATTTTCTGTTATAAGAAAAATAGATAACAATATTCTTTTTAAAAATCGTTTTTATTTTGCATTAAAATTAAAAAAAAACTGAAACTGATGCTTTGGAACTTTTATTCACAAAATTCTTTTATCTTAAATTAAGAACGAGTTAAATTACATAATAAATCTTTCCAACCTGAAATATCTAAGGTTTACGACATTGCAGGTTGCAAATCAGAGTTTGTGGCAAATTGTATGCATGGTAAAGAATTGTATAATTTATTAAATTACACGATTATTCAAAATAAAATTTTCAGAAATATTTGAATTATTTTTGCGATGACAATAATTTTGTGAGCAATAATATCAATCATTAAATATTTATTAAACATGCCTAGGATTGTTTCACATCGTGTTAATCTGTACCTGAGTAATTTAGTGTTATTTTGTAGATTACTTCCGGAGACTCGGAATTCCTGGTTCCTGGTCAGCCGGGGACTTCCTGTTAATCAATAAAGAGACTGATTTTGATTTTGATCTTAGGTGTTTAGGAACATATTACTCAGAAGAAATTTGTCATTAATGCAATGAGAGAATCAATTATTTCGATTTCATCGTTATATTGAATTTCTTAGGTGTTTAGGAACATATTTCTCAGAAGAAAGGAATTGAGTCTTTGCCACAAACTCTGATTTTCTAAGCCGTATATCTTTGGATTCCAATGTCGTAAACCTGAGATATTTCAAACTATGAATTCTGTTAGATCAAATGATATAAGTTTGAAATATCAAATATGAACGACATTTGGTTCCAAAGATATACGGATTATAAATTCAGAGTTTGTGGCAAAAACTCAATTCCTTTGTCAATAAATCAATGTTAGAATTAATTATTTCGTTTTCATCATTATATTGAATTTCTTATTTTCTATGAATTTGTTCGCGTATTTCTACAAATTCTTCAAACGTCGTTTTTTCAACAAAAATTCCAGAAAATCTGTAGAAAATCTTTGTGAATAATGAGAGATTATAGAAACTAATAATTGAATAAGATTACTTATTTACGATGATAAGAGTTAATTTTTATTTTCTAATGTAAGTAATGTTGATGTAAGTAATGGTAAAGGTTTGAAAAAAAACATCAAAAGTACATCGGAGCGCTCTAGTGTAAACATGCTATTAAGTAAAGGAGAAAAAATGACAAGAGGGGGAGGGGGCGGGGTCCCCAATCGTGATAGGGTTTATTTCACTTTCTCTAAACGCATTTTCTTGTATCTAATTTTTCATTTTATTTCATTAGTAGATTAAGAATGTGTATTCCTGCACACTTGTTGTGTTTAATATTCATTGAACTATTTAAAATCATTACTTGAGTCTAACAGTCGTCTTCCTGTTCCAGACTTTCTTGAAACTCACTGTACTCTACCTGGGACACTGGAGCAGTTAGGAGAAGCTGCTAGAGCTTCCGGATACTCCTGGGTATAGCAGCAGTCTACAGCTGACTGCTGCTGCTGGATTTTAAGCAGCTTCTCAGCCATCAGCTGCATGTGATGTGATATCTGAGATCTATATCAAAAGTTAGAAAAGCCTTGTTCTTAGGTCTACATATAAGGGCTTTACTCAGAGAAATGGAAAATTAGTTATCCTGTAGTCTGTAACAATCTTTTTGAACGTCAATTGGTCTGAAAATCGTATTTCTCATGAATTTTATAAAAAAAAGATTAATAATTGTTCCGAAACGGTTTTTAGCAACAATTTTTATTTTTAAAGCGCCAAGAAATTCTGTTCTTGGATATCAAATATCATTAAAAAAGAGATTTCGAGAAATCAATGAAAAAGGATTGTCCGCCAAATTTTGATCCTCTTTTAATAAAAGGAAACAAACTTTAAGTTTAGATTATGATGGATCCTCATTTACTTTATATCTCTTATTTCCGTCTGTTAAAGTTAGTATTTCAGAAAAGTTACAGAAAAAATACAGGTTTTAAGGCTCAAAGCTTAAAGAGAATGTAGGCGTAATTTTAAGCGACTCTCCATTTTTAAAATAAGGCATGCTCGATTTACAGCGGTTGAAACCTAGCTTAATCAGATCAAAATGTGGAAGATTACATCAATTTTTTTATTTAATTGATCAAAAATTGTTAAATTCTGTTACTTTTTTTTCATTGTTTCTTAAGTAAAATATGCACCTGTCACTTTTTTCGTGAAACCACAATTAAAAAAAATTAGTTTGTTTTTAAGACATGATAAGACATGGTAGTTGAGCTGAAAATGCAGTATTGTAGAGAAAGTTGGTAGGATTCATTTGAGACCAATGACACGTTTTACGGTGTATAATTATTCAGCAAGAGCGCAAATTCAATCTTTAAAATCCTCATAGATTGTTAATTTTGGAGGGATGATATCTTTACAATATGCATGCATTCTCAGCTCAACTATAACCATGTCTAGCCAGCCTCTCTCTTTAAAAGCTTTGTCTAATGAAGAATGAATTAGTTATTCATGTTTTTTTCTTGAAAACCGATTTTTTATTTGTGGTTTCACCACAAAAGTACCGTTGTCAATCGGAAATGCCACTTTTTAAAGGAGGATCTCCTAAAACTGCAAACCTGACATGTTCTTGAAGTTCACTTCTCTGGATCTTCTGGGAGCATCCAACTAAGCTAAAGGGACAGGCAACCAGGGCTCTTTAAAAGATAATTTTAAAAACTTTAGAAACTTATTTTTACCCAATCAAAAATTAACAAAGACAATTTAAACTATCAAACCCTTAGATAGTGACTAAAGCTCAAAGATAACATTACTCCCAACAAATATCGATTTGATAGAATCTCATAAAACTTGGATATAATTTAAAAAAGCTCATCTTTAAAAAGAATCTTTAAGAATCTTTAAAAAAAACTATAGTATAGTAAAGTAAATAAACATCTTAAAGGCTATCAACGCGCGGGCTAGAAACAAAAGAAAACAAAATCAATTATATAGTGTAGACTGTATATACGTACAGGGTTACACTTAAAATATGCGACTTCAGAGCCGACTGTATTGAATTTATTCAGTCTATCTTCTTACATTTATGACTCCTTGCAGCTGTAAAAATTGTTTCTTTCCGGGCCAAATCTTAATAAATACCAATTAAAGAATGCAAGTATGTATGCAAGGCAAACACCCGAAATCAGCCTTCAATTCGTTGTAACCAAAAAAATTCAGGTCATCGTTAAAGTTTCATTCATTCAAGTTTGTGGGTAACCCTGTATATAATAGATATACCTAGGACAAATTATATTTGAGTGCTGATTCTCTAAACTTATCAGCTCACCACAATCAGTGCAGGATAGAGATTCCATGTCATCCTGGAAAAGATTTATTAATCCCGAGCTTGGATTTATTGAAAAGCAAAAATCATATGAACTGTGAATGGCTAGTTTGATGACTTCTATAGAGGCACTCTTTTACACAATAAAGCAGGCGTCAATAATATTCCATTCAATGCGATACCAAATGTTGATTGATTGATGGGGAGAAATGGGAGTACAGTGTCAAGTTGTAGAACAATTCCATTCTGCAGATTGTATGCTGCAAGGGAATGTTTATTTTTTTGTATAACATAATTTATCTCTTATTATCTTTTAACAACCCACATTGCGAAATTTCACAATGACACAAAAAGTGTATTTTTCACACCAAAATGTACTTTCAAGCCCTATCCCATCGGGATCAAATATGGAATTATATTGACCGACGCGCTGCAATAAAGAACTAGATAAACCATAAGTAATAACCACATTTGTTAAATTCAACCGAAGACAATTTGCAGAAAATTTATTATTATTCTGAGGGTTGATTTACCGTATATTTGTTTGTTTTGAAAGAACAGATTTTAACATGAGCTTCTCTGTCGGCTACCTTCATCTCTGCAGTACACCCCTCAACTCGGTACAAGCATCTGAGTCAAGAAAAATGTAAACATATTGAAGATTTTCAACAATAGTGTAGATTGTAAACAATGATAAAGATTGTAAAAAATATTAAGGATTGTAAACAATAATAAAGATTGTAAAAAGTATTAAGGATTGTAAAGAATATTAAGGATTGTAAACAATAATAAAGATTGTAAAAAGTATTAAGGATTGTAAAGAATATTAAGGATTGTAAACAATAATAAAGATTGTAAACAATATTGAAGATTTTCAACAACAGTATAGATTGTAAACAATGATAAAGATTGTAAAAAGTATCAAGGATTACAAACAATAATAAAGATTGTAAAAAATATCAAGGATTGTAAACAATAATAAAGATTGTAAAAAAACAATGATTGTAAACAATAATAATCACCTTTTAACTGCAATAAACACGTATAATAACAATACTAAACATTTGTAAACAATAACAAAGAGCATGTGTAAACAAACTAAAAACTAATCGAATATAAAAATAAAGGATTGGTAGAGTTGCAAAGAAAAAACCTAAAACTATCAATTTGATAATATTATTAAATCAAGTATACCCATTTCAAAATCCATCATTAATTAATTTACATTTCTTAAAATGGCCGCACACATACTTGTGCAATGTTGAGTCTGGGATTTTTGACAAACTTTTACCGATTAAATTATTTTATATTTTTCTGAGGCGCGCAGAAAAATTTGCAAAAACTACAGGTTTTTAAAGTATATTTTGGCTTGGAGACAGAAAAATTCCAAACCTGACTTTTAGCTGAAGTATTTCTCTGTTAATTCCTGTATCAGCATATATATCTCCTTCACCTAAACATTTCTCTGTTATTCCTGTATCAGCATATATATCTCCTTCACCTAAACATTTTGCTGTTTGTAAAACTAGATTTAATGAAGTTTAAAAATAAGATAATAAAAACTTTTAATTAAAAATTTAAAAAACCTAAAATAAATTAAATTTATTGTCTCTAAACTTTTTTAATTAAATTAAAAAACTTATTAAAATTGTGTTCAGATATTTCTTAAAATTTGATTCTGTAAGATACTAGGGGAAAAGTCTGACCTAAGCTACAGTTATCGTCTGGACATGTTTTCCCTTCTCCTAACCAGGTTAGAATACAGGAATAGCAAAACCTTTAATAAATTTGAATAAATAAAATATACTATAAAAAATGTTATAACACTTAGCTATGCCTTATAAGATGAGAAGTATATTCTGACAATTCTAAGATCTCAAAACTCCAGTCTGTTAAATTTGCTTTTATAAATCTTTTATAGAGCGCCGCGGCCAGGATAGGCTAGGGGGCCAGGCGCTCCGGCCAGGACAGGCTAGGGGGCCAGGCGCTGCGGCCAAATGTTCAAAATTTCATTTTCATGCACATTTTTTTTAAGTAGGGGTGGGGGGGGGGCGGGGCAAATGTCTGGTCCAAAAATCCTTCTCTAGGAAATTACCATGCAAAAAAAGATCCTCGTTTTAGATTGACTCTCGCGCTGTACATGAAAATCCAGTTTTACATGTACCCTGTACTCATCTACCTGTGCCCACAGCTGGTCTGATGAGGGTCCCGCAGACAGAGCAGACAAATGGGACATTCAAACTTTGATCTAGACAAATTAGACAAAAATAAAAAAAATGTTCATCAAAGAGTTCTTGGGTTCAAAATATTATAAATATAAGGTTCTAAACGTAATTTAAATAAATTTTTAAACCAAGAAAACTTCAATAACCCTTTACAGCTATGATTGGTAAAAAATAAAATCTCGTCTTTCAAGTACAGTGGTCGTCGATTATATCGATACCACGAAGATGACTTTTTAAAATAATGCTTTGATCCCTAACAAGCAATTTTCAAATTACAAGTTTACAAGTAAATAATTAGAGAAACTGTTTCNAGAATTTATCAAATGTCGTCTTGACAATTTTTCAATGAGTTTCATACTATATTACGTAAATTTCAGTATTTGCGAAAATGAATAAATAGCCATGAATATGCGGGAACGGTTTTAAAGGGTTCCATATAATCATTTAATTAAAAAACTAAATATCTGCAACATTCCATTATCGGAAAGTGAAGAATACGACATTTGATGAATTCTTTCGATGTATTCCTTATTAAGGGTTTCACTGTATATATATATATATATATTCTGTCAAAATTTGACATAGAGTAAGAAAAGCAAATGTTTAAAATAAACAATTTACAAAACATTTGTCTTCTTACACTATGCCAAACTTGGAATATGAAAGAAAATATAGACGAAAAACAAAACCCCAGAAACTACCATCAACCGAAGGGACATCACTGTCCGTAGGTTTGAGCATAAAATTGAAATCTATGCTTGATCCATAGACTCAAAACACAATAGTTCTGCCTTAATTTGGTTTCATTAAAAAGTTAATATTTGTTTTAAAACTTTACTTTACGATTTAAACCACAAAACGTGACAAAGTAAATTTTATATAAAAAATCGTTTTCCAATTTAAACAATAAAATTTTCTTTTCTCAGAAGAGCATAAATTCAAAACTAGAGAAGCTGCGGGGTCACAAAGCCGTCCTAGTAATTTTGCATACATTTGATCTTTTCCTTATTGTGACTAGATGGGGGTAAGAAATTCCCGTGGATGAATGTTATGATATCTAAGATGGATATCTTAAAAGATCCAATATAACCTATTCTCTGGTATATTTTATACCTTGACGGATATTTTAAATACATGGATGTCAGAACTAAAATTCGGAATAGCCTTTGCAATAATTGTAGATATCCAAGAATCCTACTTGATAATTTCGAACTAAGTCTTTAGATAATCTGTCTGCTATTTGAAATATCCTGCGTATAGAGTACACTGGATACCTTTAATATATACCTGCTTTCAATACCTGCCTTAGTCATGCATNGCTAATAATTACAAGAAGAAAAAACACATTTATTTTACTTTAAGATCTGTAGTTAAAACTTCTCGATGAAGAGGGGATATTATAACCATAAATGTTATGGGAGGGGACAGAACCCCCCCTCCCCATAATAAGCATCTTCTGTGTAGTGGGGTGTTTGTGTGGCAGACAATTTAAAGATTGTGGAAAATAAGAGCTCTTCCTTTTTATTTAATTTCAATCATTATATTGCTGAAACAGATTGAGGACTCAGTTCTAATAGCGGACAGCAAACGATGGAACAATACATCCCATTTAACGCTACTATAGTCGGCAGCTCCTGGCTCTTTGTGGCTCACAACTGGCTCATCAACCCCTTCACAGTTCACCCCAGTACACTCAATAAAGACTCCATTACTTTCCTAAAATGTTCATCCTAGGTTTTATGTGTCTTGTACTTCGTATGGAATATATTATCAGAGAAAAACCAAAATATAAATTATTTCAAAAAAGCAAAAAATAATAATCAACCAATTTTGAAAAAATTAAGTTATAAATTTGCCATTGTTTTGCCATGAAACACCAGGAAACTCAATATTCATTAAATTTTCGATTATTTCCAGATGGATAAAAATACATCATGACTGGTTGAAACAGATCCACCTGTCCTATACAAATTGCATTAGTTTTTTTTCCAAAAGTCCAAAAAGTGCCTTTGTTTAAAAGGGTACTGAACCCTATATGCGTGGGTCCAGTGCCCCTTTGCACTGAACCCACGCAGAGTACATTTACTTATATTGAAAACCTTTTATATATATAAGGTAAGTCCGCTTCAACCATGAACAATGATAAGATTATAAAATCTCAATCAAATTTTAATATTATAAATTATTATTCCATTGAATCCTTCAGCGAAAACATCTCCTCCATATAGAGTTGAATATAATTCCACTTTTCTCTCGTATTCTGATTTTCTGATTTTGTCAATGTAGAAAGTCAAATGAGCTTTTACAGTTCTGAGAGAGCTCAGACCAGCCATTTTCTTATATTTATTTATTTTTTCTAATTTGGTCGTTAACAGTTTTAAAATAGCTTAGACACGCCATTTTCTTATACCTAGCAAATGAGACCTCGAATCAAACCTTGATTTTATATTTCACCTTGAAGATGATGAACGAATTTTATCAGTTTCGAAATAACCCAGAATCCCCTTTTTTATATACCTAGAATGAGGTTTTGAATCAACCATCGATTTTATATATCAGCTTGAAGATGAACGAATTTCATCAGTTTCAAAATAGCCCAGAATCAACATTTTCTCATACCTAGAATGAGATTTTGAATCAACCTTTGATTTTATATTTAACCTTGAAGATGATGAACGAATTTTATCAGTTTCGAAATAACCCAGAATCCCCCTTTTTATATACCTAGAATGAGGTTTTAAATCAACCATTGATTTTATATTTCAGCGCTTGAAGATAAGAAATTTAAACTGTTTTGAAATTGCCCAGAATCAACATTTTCTTATACCTAGCATGAGACCTTGAATCAAACGTTGATTTTTTATTTCTTTAATTTCAACTTGAAGATAAATGAATTTTAACAGTTTTGAAAACCCATGCCATTTTCTTATATTTAGAACGAGGGCCTAATTCTTTTTTCTAATTTGGTCTTTAACAGTTTTAAAAAAGCTTAGACACGCCATTTTCTTATACCTAGCAAATGAGACCTCGAATCAAACCTTGATTTTATATTTCACGTACCTTGAAGATGATGAACGAATTTTATCAGTTTCGAAATAACCCAGAATCTCCTTTTTTATATACCTAGAATAAGGTTTTGAATCAACCATCGATTTTATATTTCAGCTTGAAGATGATGGAATTTCATCAGTTCAAGTACCAAGAATCAACATTTTCTTATACCTAGAATAAGGTTTTGAATCAACCATCGATTTTATATATCAGCTTGAAGATGAACGAATTTCATCAGTTTCGAAATAGCCCAGAATCAACATTTTCTCATACCTAGAATGAGGTTTTAAATCAACCATTGATTTTATATTTCAGCTTGAAGATGAACGAATTTCATCAGTTTCGAGGTTTTAAATCAACCATTGATTTTATATTTCAGCTTGAATATGATGGAATTTTATCAGTTCAAGTATCAAGAATCAACATTTTCTTATACCTAGAATGAGATTTTGAATCAACCATTGATTTATATTTCAGCGCTTGAAGATAAAGAAATTTAAACTGTTTTGAAATTGCCCAGAATCAACATTTTTTTATACCTAGCATGAGACCTTGAATCAAACGTTGATTTTTTATTTCTTTAATTTCAACTTGAAGATAAATGAATTTTAACAGTTTTGAAAACCCACACCTGCTAATAGCCTAATATCTTATATTTAGAATGAAACTTGGAACCTTAGAGAAAATAAATAAAAGTCCTTATATACTAAGACTATAATATTAAGTCCTTTTTTATATTTTAACAATTTTAAAACCCTCAAATTTTAAGCAGCCTTTTTAGGGTAAACATGTTCTACTGAATGAAACATTTTAAGACAACATTAAGCTGTTTCATTACTTTAATCTCAAGTCCTATGATTAATGGCTTCATTCTCAAGTCCTTTAGTTTACTGGCTTTATCATCAAGTCCTTTCATTAATGGCTTTATTCTCAAGCCCTTTGTTTAATGGCTTTAATCTCAAGTCCTATGATTAATGGCTTCATTCTCAAGTCCTTTATTTTACTGGCTTTATTCTCAAGTCCTTAGTTTAATGGCTTTAATCTCAAGTCCTATGATAAATGGCTTCATTTTCAAGTCCTTTATTTTACTGGCTTTATCATCAAGTCCTTTCATTAATCGCTTTATTCTCAAGTCCTTTGTTTAATGGCTTTAATCTCAATTCCTATGATTAACGCCTTCATTCTCAAGTCCTTTATTTTACTGGCTTTATTCTCAAGTCCCTTGTTTCATGGCTTTAATCTCAAGTCCTATGATAAATGGCTTCATTTTCAAGTCCTTAATTTTACTGGCTTTATCATCAAGTTCTTTCATTAATCGCTTTATTCTCAAGTCCTTTGTATAATGGCTTTAATCTCAAGTCCTATGATTAATGGCTTCATTCTCAAGTCCTTTATTTTACTGGCTTTATTATCAAGTCCTTTCATTAATTGTTTTATTCTCAAGTCCTTAGTTTAATGGCTTTAATCTCAAGTCCTATGATTAACGCCTTCATTCTCAAGTCCTTTATTTTACTGGCTTTATTCTCAAGTCCCTTGTTTCATGGCTTTAATCTCAAGTCCTATGATAAATGGCTTCATTTTCAAGTCCTTTATTTTACTGGCTTTA